ACGAATCCGACAATTACTCTACTGCTACTGCTGGAAATGGATAGTTTATTCACAAAAGAACTCGCCTTAGGGCGCATCTCTGTGGTTCAAACTAAACCGCGTTGCGTTCACCCTATCGGCCGTGTACCGAAAAAGGACTCAGGAAAATCCCGCCCAATTACTGACAGCAGTCGTCCGCATGGTATTTCTTTGAACGATCACATTTAGCGTGACTTAGAGTCCTTTCGCATGAATTCAATTGACAGCGCGGTGTCATTTTCTACACCTTATTGTTTTTACTGGATAGTTGTCTGCTTGGCGCTGGATCCCGGTTTTCCCCCCTCACCGAGAATTACAAGGTTTTCGCTGGAGTTTGGCACATACGACCCTTCCCAGGATAATTATTACGCGGACAACAGACTTTGTTTCGGTCTCTCGTGCGCAACGTTCATTTTCAACCGTATCGCTAACGCTATTGTTCGCATGATGGTTCGCCGTGGTTTTCGTGCTGTGGTTAATTATCTGGATTTTCTTATCATCGGAAGTACAAAGGAAGAATGTCAGCGGGGGCTTGTCACCCTTATCAATTTGCTGCATTATCTCGGATTTAACGTGAGTTGGCGCAAAGTCGTTTCTCCCACCTAGCGTATCACCTTCTTAGGCATTGAGCTAGATTCCTCAACTATGTCTCTCCGACTTCCCGAGGATAAGTTAAACCGGCTGATCGGTCTCGTTAACACTTCCTCACACAAGGCTTCTGCCTCCAAACGTCAATTGCAGTCCCTCGCGGGATCTTTAAACTTTGCGTGCCAAGTTGTCCATGGTGGTCGCACATTCCTCCGTCGCGTGATTGACTGCTTAAACAAATTAAATCACTCTTCTCATCGGTTTCGTGTCACCTCTGTTTGTATTTGGTCACATTGAAAATCTTTGAATGAATTAAAATTCTTAGAAGACATTTACATCAAATTCAGGGAAACTGAGCTGGTAGAAATTTCGTAACTGAATCGCGTGTGAATTCACGGCTCATTACGCATGCAAGAATGTAGAGATGAATCTGAAACCTACCACTGCCAACGGACTCAACTTTCGAATAATAAATTCATTAATGGAATTTTGGGGGGTGCGCTTCACCTGGCTTGACTATAAAGTGATCATGACTTATGATCATTGAATATGCGGGCATTCATTGTAAACCACTGAATCCATGTAAAAAGTACCAATTTTTTATCACCTGGGAAAAAGTTCGGAGTTATTCGTGTACATGCATAAGAAACAAATACCTATGAAAGAGTGAATTTGTATGAAGTGTCCACAAACAAGTCATGTTGAAGGTGATCAGTTTCTCCATTGGTGTCCATTCTAAACATGTGTTGGCTTGTTGAGACAGTGCTAGAGCCATAGAGTCTGAGACGAGTCAAATGAACACTTTCCCTGTATTACATGCAGTTATCGTGAATGTAAAGCTAAGTGCAGGATGGATTGATCTTAAATGGGAAACCCTATATCTGCTTGCATGTCGTTTAATTTCTTGAAACAATCTTCTTCTGCCAATGGAACAAATGTTTTATTTCTGAGAATATGTCACCTCTCTCTGACTTCTTTGAAAGAGTTAAATTTTATGACTGACTTCTTAAATTTTTCGTAACAGCGAAAGGAATGAACGTTCCTGGCATGGCAGCCATGTCATACACTAATATTCTGAGGATATCCGAAATACAGATGGTTTTTTGGAATAATAGGAACGAAAATATAGGAGGCCAGCAATAATAAATTTTCGTTATATTTGACTTAAAAGACGCAGCGGTGTTTATGTACAAGGCTGCTATACACACACATATATATTTTACTTGTGAAGGAAATTGAATGAAAATTGTAGGCTTAAGCGAAAAATTTGTTCAGTAAGGATTTTGTTTACAAATGTAAGGCCTCCCTACATGTCACACATTATCGGTGTTCTAAACTGTACATTGTAAAATAAAGCTTACTGTAGAACGGTGAAAAGGCTGATTGGCTGTCCTCAGTCCGTTGGAAAGATACTCCTTATGTCGATTTTACAGATGGTGTAATTCTTGCTGCCTATCGTTGCATCGAAGAAGATAATTTTGACTGTAAACTTGCCCCTCGATGATTCCTCGTCGGCTTCGTTGCGAACTCTATTGACCGCACTTTGCTGAAACGTCGGCAGTCGGTGTTCCCTCTCTTCGTTGGCTTTGTTTGCAGTGTTATTGTAGTATTTTGTTGCTGCCTCTTTACATCCTCTGTCTTAAGTTGACAGCGTTTGCCTTCGCTGTGCCGTTGCTCGCCCTGAATTTAAAGTCGACCTTCTCGGTCTTGCGGAGTTTTGTTTGTAAATCTTTCCCAGCGAGGATTTCCAGCCACTTGTTGAATCCGCTGTTGTTGAGTTTGCTGTTGTCTTTTATTTGTCGGAGATATTGGGTGGTGATTCACCAACCGTAAACATTATTATAATTCACCTCTTCATTTGAAGAAAACCCGGAGCTTTGTCATCGATGGCAGTCGGTTGCCTGGAAACCCATAATGCACTTTGACGTCACTACTCTGGATGATGTCAAGGCGGACACCAACCAAACTCGATAGATTTATTTCCAAGAGGAAATCACGCTGGCCTTGCGATGCTCGTGTGATAGATGCGCGCTTCGCGCGCGACGAGATTATAAATCTCGCGGCTCGGCGCTTCGCGAGGAATTAAGGTGGTGGGCGACTTAAATACAGTACACGAATAGGTCTATTTGTTTTTTCAGGCCTAATCTACTGTGATCGAACATGATTGCTATTTTCGGGTGTACAAATAAGTCTATTAACTCGATGTAAAATTTGTTTCACTCTTGGACTTTCAAATTGTTTTTCTCTAAAATCACTTAGCCTTTGCCTCAGAAGTCACATGAATGTGCCCTGTGGATTACAAGTTTATTGTTTGATTTAAATTATGAATTTATTAACGGGAGGTTCGCTTTTAGCCCTGGCTAAACCTATATATTATCTTTCGTTTGAAGTTACATTTTTCGGCATTGAGTTTTCAGAGCGGACTCCAAAAATTACAATTTCGGTTATTTCATTAAGAGAATAACTTTTTAGTCAAGAATCAGTGTTTTCTGCTACTAACCAAACAGCTACGGAGTCCGCCGCCATCTGGTCAACCGCGCGAGAAATGATGTTCTTCACAAAAACAAAGAGAAGTTATTTTCGATTTGCCCCGTCTCCTCCATCCGAAAGTCCGGGACATGACCGCGTCAAACAACTTCCCACCCCCTGGCCTCCAGGGCTGGACTTGTCCCTGTGGTTGCCCGAGAGGTAGTAACAAGTCTAATACGCTCTTCTCACATATGGTAATATGCCCGTCTAACCTCGTTTACGGGTAAAAATTCTTTTGAAATTCAAATACGAAAACGTCGTCTGATTAGCATTTCAAAGGACTTTTTACTCAAAAACGAGGTTAGACGGGCATATTACCATACGTGAGAAGAGCGTATTGAACCGTGCATCAATGACTTTTTAGGAAATCAGAAGCCTCTTTTCCGTGATTAGTTCAAACTGTGTGCTTCCTTTTACCTGTTGTTTCCGGTTCTCAAAAAAAAAAAATTTCCGGTCCTTCGGGCCTTAGTTTGGTCTAAAAATAAGAAAACAACGTTATTTTTTAACTACGCACTGAAAAAAAGGTGTGAGAATCAGAAGAAGATTGACAGACAGTTGGTTACGAGCAGGACTTCATTGAGGATGAAACATGTCGAAAAAGGGCTGAAAAACACAGGGAACGCTCTGGCTTAGCTATAAAAAGCCGATTTTTTTGCGGGACTTAACAAGACTTTTTCAAAAATGACGGAGTTTATGGGGTAAGAAGGGGTTTTATCAATTTATTTGCTAAGCTTATATGCTGCACAGAAGACTGCCCTGCAAGGAAAATCTTAAACAATGGCGCGCCGTTAATTGACGCCAAGGTCATTTGATATTCGAGTTTTTCTTCGTCTCAGCGAAGAAGCGTATTAGCTATGAAAGGTGTTACAAGCTCTCCTCACTGTACGACGCGTCATAGCTAAGTCGTGTCTTACTTCAAATGAAACGTGTTATTTGTACGGGAGGTTCATGTCCTAGTCTCCTTTCCTGGGATTCTGAGTCATTCAGACAGGATATTGGCCAGTTCCATTCTCCTCGGATGAAGCCTTGCAAATCGGCGGATCTTATTTCATTAAGGTCAATTTCTATGTTATAGTGGGTAGTCGAAAGCGTTTTCCAGATTTCATCTTACTAAGTTTATATACATACATCTGTTTGCAAAAATTTTGAACCCCCCAGAAATATATAAATATAAATAAAAACATTCATTTAAGTGCAAAAAGTCTTTAAACAGGAGAAATTCACACACGTGACTGTAACCACATCATCATGCATGTATTCTTATATCAAAAGAAAACAATATTTGCCAATGGGTAAATTACACCTTACCATATCAACAGATCACGTAAATATATGTATATATATCTGGGAGGTTCAAAATTTTTGCAAACAGCTCTCTCACTCTCTCTCTCTCTCTATATATATATATGCGTCGTCTTTCAGTACTTTCTCTCGAATCTCAGCCATTTTGTTTTTTGGCTCATTCAAAATGAGCCACTTCTAAAAAGTGTCGAGCTCGAAGATTTAAAAGAAAAGAGTTCAGGCCAAGACCAAATTTCCTATTTTTAAGAGCCAGGGGGGGAATAATTAATAATTCTTACCGAGCCTTCAAAGATGAAAATAGACACCTGCTAGCCTCTCTATAATCTCCAGCAGGGTTATTATCATTGATTAACATTTGTCTCCGAGCAGCGCCCTTTTTTTATTAATCTTGCAAAACGGAGTTCTAATAATATATCTGGGCGAGGTTTGAAGCTCTCGATTTTAATGTTTAAGAAATCTGCAGGGAACAATTTTAAGCAAATTATGAGTTCCTTTTTTTTGTATTCGTGAAATGGCGGTTTTCTTAATTCATAACGTAAACAGTTGTCATGGTATTAGCATAAACTGATCTCCACATTATACTGAGAGACCTATTTTATGCTCAGAATAGTTTGTGTCATAATGAAATTCAATTCAATTCAAAGACTGTGTTTGAAGCTATTTTACCGCGGACTCTTCATCGAGGGAGACACAAAATGACACGCATTTCGTTTTTCACCTCGTTAATTTCCCTGGTAAACATCCTAAACGGTTCAAAAAATTTCCTATCGTTTCCAGACTTCAAATTGCGTAATTACGCAGAAAAAATTGTCGGGGGAAGACTCAATGGAAGCACTGTCAAACAGCTGAATGTGTCATCAGAAATGTCTTGCCAAATTGAATGTGTGGCAGATAAGCGTTGTTTATCGTACAACTTAATTCCGATTACAGGCATGGATGTATTAATCTGTGAGCTCAGTGACTCTGATAGATTTGTTGGGTATCAGAATTTTACAAGACAAGTTGGGGGCATCTACAGAGGATTAGAGGTAAAAATAACCGAGAATCTAAATTCAATGTTTAATAAATTCTTTCGGGTTTAGATCTAATTTTAATAAGGTATGCTGGTAGTGAATCAAATTCTTGTAATATACAACGAAAAACAGTGAATTATTGCGAGGCGTTATAAAGCTCTCTTTAAGGTGGCATATTACATTATCGCACCTATATTATTTTCGATTTGTTATAGCCTATTCACATAAAAAAGAATTTTTCTTGTGCGCAATATTGTTATAATGGAATACTTGCCAATAAATATGTAGCTATTTATTTTTCAGAGTATCTGTGAAAGAGAATCACCGTGTACAAACGATGAAGTGTGTATTCCTGATTATGAAGATGACGCTAAGCATTCCTGCAAATGTATAGGTTGGTAAACAAACCAAAAAATAAATTAATGCTTCGCCCCCTGCCGCCCCACAAAAACAATCGTGACATATCATGGTTCTTGTTTCGCAAACTGTGGTTTACCCTTAAAGACCTTAACTCAAATGATGATCTCTGAGGAGCGAGAAAGTTCCTGTCAGTTCCAAGGCAAAAATGTTTCCAGAACTCAGTTTAACGGGATCAATTTTATGGATTAACTGTTGCTCTGAAAGAAAAACCACAAAGAAATCGGGATTCGTTATGTCTAATGCTAACAAGTCGCCCCACGTAAGGTAATGCAACGAATTCTTGGATTCTGGATTTCTTAAGCTGTATGCCGGACTCCACAAGAAAAAATTCCCGGATTCCGGGATCCGAATTATGATACAGGAGGCGAAACAAGTGTTCAGTTTTCCTTTTTGTTAGTCCAATGACCACACAGCAGTTCAATAAGTACACAACAGATCAGTAACCACACCAGTAGTTCAATCAGATAGGGATGTTTATGGGTGGGGTATCATTGTTCTAAAACCCTGTCATATAATCATCATCATCTTCGTTTAATTATTTATTTATTTATATATCACCTTCATCATATTTATTTAGTCATTTATTTATTTATGTCTTTATTTGGCTTAGCCCATGATGTAAATGGTTAACTAAAGCAGTGATGTACATTTTTTTAATACATAATAGTTCGTGTAATTTAAGTCCATATCTTCTTTGGAGTAAGAAAACCGAACTGATGAGAAAAAGGCCTCACTTGGACACCAGGATTAGTGTGACGTAATTCCTTCAAGTTGCGCGCGAAAGTTCACGGCGGCTGCCAGTTAATATTTCAAGAAATTGCGCATGATGTGAAATGACGTAAGCCATCGAGTGAAGAAAACATAGTGCGGTCATCCTACTGGTTTTTTTTTATTCAAGTTGCAGTGAGTTAGACACAATTCAAACTTTATTTCTAACTCGTTTTGGAAAGAAAACTGTTGCTACCGTTCTGAGGCATCGCCTGAAATTTTTATGATCTCTTATATGCACAGACATTATCGTATCGAAAGATTTTTGAAATATGGACAGGAAACAAGCAGCGGCCTTTCAAGTTGGAAACAACCAAAAACGTTGGAAGTTCAGAACTTGCACAGTAAAAAATGTTTTTTTTTAAACATGGATTGATGGTAGTCGACTCAGGCACGTAGGGCCAGCTGTGGTACCACGGTTTGAAACGTGCGGAAAGAGAGTCAAAAAGAGTTTCAAAACCTTTTTCAACCAGCATTAGCCCTTAGTCAGAGAGAATCGTTCGCTTTGACTAGCCTGAGTATCAGCAGGTGTTCCTAGGAAAAGGGGAAAGAGCTGGGAGAAGCGAAACGTGGAGACAGCGAAGGGATAGAAAGAAAAATCTCCTCTCTGCTAACCCCTAGGGCGGGCCTGATACTCAAGCTACGCTCCGACGGTTGGCTATATATTGTTCGAAATGTCAGGTTTTCAATCTGTTTACCATGGTAATTGACTGATTAGTCGTCAAACTGCATTTAATCTGTAGTTTTCTTCAGTTGGATCAACGTATTGAAGCAATGATCTTTCCCGTTGCAAACTCTGAAGCAGATTTTCGTGAAACAAGCCATCTCACCTTAACTATCCCTACCCTTTCTTACTTAAGGACTCAAACAATGTTTTTCCAATTCAGAATGCCCAAGACATTGTCAAGACCTTTACTTAAAGGGTTCTACGACTGATGGAGTGTACTTGGTTTACCCTGACAACGGAGAAGCCGTTCAAGTGCTCTGCGACATGACAACTGAGGGTGGTGGATGGACAGTCTTTCAAAGACGAATGGATGGATCAGTGGACTTCTACTTGAAATGGGAAGACTACAGAGTGGGATTTGGAAATCTGAACGGGGAGTTCTGGTTAGGGAATGATAATCTTCACCGTCTGACTGCAAATGCTGATATGATGCTCCGAGTTGATTTGGAGGATTACGATGGTGTACGAAAATATGCCGAGTACACGACATTCTCTGTAGCTAACACAGACGACAACTATCGACTGACGATTGACGGATATCAGGGCACCGCGGGTGATTCGATGGTCGTGTGTCCTAGGCCAGCTAGGTACGTAATAGCAAAACGTTAAACAATCACTGTATTCAGATAAAGCTAATTAAAATAAGGAAGAATTATGCATATCGATGGGGGTGGTGGATGGGGGGGGGGAAGGGAAAGAAAAAATTAGGCATATCGATAGGGGGGGGGGGGGGTGGGGGGGGGGGGGGGGGGGGGGAAAAGGATAGGAAAAATGACGCAGATGGGTGGGGGGGGGGGTGGGTGTTAATTCTGCCGAAACCGACTGAAGCGGATAACACCCTCCTCGATCTTCATAACTTCTTTATGTCACGAGAGGACCGTATTTTATCAGGATTGTTCCATTATTCACTTAAAATATTTACAAGCTCATAAAGTATTATTACCCTTGTGTAGACTATTTCCTTCGAAACATTTTCTAAATACACGGTATTTCAGTATGCGAAAAGATATTTGTTTCGTTCCTTGCACTTGTTCATTCGGAACAAGTCGACATTGTTCGATTGGCTATTTGTATTTTCATGCAAGTCTTTTCTTCTTTCGTTCTCGCTAGGCGTTCGAAGCCTTTCAGACATTTTGTCAAATTTTGCACTGTCAAAGCAACTGAGCCAGCGCGCCGCTGTCTTTGCTTGACCTTCTATAATATTTAGTAGTTATTGAATAAGGTTTGAGTATGATCTGAAGAGAGAGATGGAGATCGAGAAGGGTTGGGCCTAAGGGGATAACGCCCTCTTAGATCTGCATAATTCTTCAGTTCTTACGAAAGCCGAATCCAATAGTTTTTGTATTTATTCAAAATAACTCCTAGTTTAAGAAAGCTAAAACATGCTGGATCGACGTTAAGTTTAGGTCTTCATTTGACTGTTTCTTTGAGAGAGATGTTTACTCTTTGCAGATAATACAGCAGATGTCATCCGTCGAGATGTATTCTTGCTGTTCTTGCTATGTTTTTCGGCAGTAGTTCGGCTATTCTTCTTTACGAAATATGGGGAATGTGATTTCCCCATTTTTTACTACTCTACCCAAACAACGCAACCTGGTCCCCGGGGTTCCTTGGTTGCAGTCCCTTTTCTAGCGATTACCCTGTACTATTGACGTCATTTTTCGTATATCGAGAACTCCAAATTTGGTCAACGCTAGCTGGTTATGAAAAATAGCGTTGAGATTTGAGCCAATCAGAAATGGAAACATATTTTGAGTGAATAATAACTGCTATTATTGGCCGATTGAAATAAATCTTGCAGAGTTGGTCAGCATTAGCTAATTACCAAAAAATTAACGGAAGAATTATAAGCAATTCAGAAACGGCAAAATATTTGAACGAACGATAGTGTATTAATTGGGAAAAATTTCCAATAAGCTATGAACTTGTTTAAAGTTGTATCAAACTCCTTTCTTTATTGTTTAGAAATATGATGTTCACGACCCAAGATCGAGACAACGATGTTCATGGCTCAAACATTAACTGTGCAGTAAAGTATACAGGAGCTTGGTGGTATAACTACTGTCATTGTGCAAATCTAAATGGTTTATACCAGGGCGGTGGACATGCACAAGGAGTCGTTTGGAGTTCTTGGAGAGGCTTCGAGTATTCTTTAAAAATAGCAGAGATGAAAGTTCGACCCAAGACAGCGTAGTCAAGCTGAAGTTGCGTTTCATAATATAAACAGTGAACGTTTAAGAAGTCTAAGGGCAACTACATTTGAGGATTTTTGACCTAGGCATCGCACAGAGTGCTTTATTAAAGGCAGGCATAACAGCCACTTTTTGAAAAATCTGATAGAAAAAATAGGCTGTTCAAGTTCAAAATCATAGGAAAATATAGGAATTTTCTGCAAAAATATAGGCTCTTTACAGAAAAAATTTGAAAAATGAATAAAAGATTTGAAAAAACTGTAAAAAAAAGGAAAACATATATATAAACTATGTTTACTGGTAGAATTTTGTTTTTGTTAATTCACAGCAAAACTGCTTCACAGTGCAAAATGCAGATGTCAGAATACTCCCTATTCATAGGAAATATCGTAGGATTTCTAGAATTATCGGTTCTATATATGATCCGATATAAATTATAGTAAATATAGGAGGTCTGGGATGCCTAACTGCTCCTTCTCAAGCTAGGACCTTCCATATCACTTTGCAGTGTTGTTACAGGACTGGCAAGTGTATTGCTCAGGGCAGGCCAACACAACCCCAATGGTACCATTGTGACCACAGTTCACGCTGTAGGCTGTTCTCACTGTCTTCCTCAAATTCATCTGGCTCAAGACGAAGTTTATCACAGGCTAGTAAATAACAGAGATCCCTTAAGCCTAACGAAACTCTTTGAATGTGTGTGTTGAAGAAGATAACAAGGTTAGCAAGGACTGCTTTCCAATGCTGTAAATCAAAATGAATTAGTTCAATGAGAGGTTCTCCTTTGGGTGTCCAAACAACAAAAAATGTTTTTTCGCCAGCTGATGAGGCCATCTGACCTATGACCTGGGTGCAGTATTTGTGTCTTCTTCTGAGTCTAATCTTGCCCTCCTTTGATTCAAGAAAGTCAGTTTTCGACCTTCCCTCCAAAATAGACATGTTCTTGATATTGAAGGGGCACTTATACTCCACACATATCCGCCCACGACAGTTGCATATGATAATATTGTCTGGAATGGCACCAAGGAAATAGAAAAAATGAGCTGAGTGAAATAAATCTTCTTGTCTTGCTTCACGTATGGGTCACATGACATTTGTTTGCAGTGACTTTAGGAGTCTACTCAAAATATACCGCAATAACCCCTTACCTGTTCTAGCGAAAGTGCTACATATATTAGATTCGAATTATTCACTCTCTACTTCTTGGAAAGACCATTAAGAATCTTGGCGATTTATCTTTCTTTATAAACCTATTTATTAGCTATTGTTATTAGATATCGGCAGATGGATTGACATTTAAAACTTTAGAAAGAAACTACAAGACTGTTGTAAAGAATGGTGTCTTCTTTTCCGGCATAAAACAACAGACATATCAGCTACTAATCGAATCCTAATCTTCTTCGTAAAAGTTATTAATCATGATTACCAGATCACTGATTACCACTAATTCATTGCTTAGCCATCGCGGATTGTCCGGATGGAAGTCACATCTACTGAATATATATATTTTTTGAAGCAGATTGAGAATCTGCGCCTTATGATCAGAAGACGCCGCATTGTGCTATTGTCTTTTCGTGTATCTTATGTTTTCTTCTTATACGGTTTTGTACTTTTACAGCCAATCTGCCACATCTGTGTTTCAGTTGTGTTCTTTTTGGCTATAAGGTCAGCTTGATTTTTTTGGTGTACTGAGGGCTAAGTACATGGAAATGTGTCTTTATTGAGGTTAAAAAGTTCGTCTATAAAGTTCTTTTTTATGATTTGGTCTAATAGACAGTAACAACCTCACCAGGTAACCTCGGTAAATTGCTCGGAAACACAGGTGACTTCGTTAGGTAGATTAATTTTAAGATCATAGCGCGAAGGAACCTATAGGATTCGTAAGAATATTTTACGATCGTTAACTTAAAGTGGTTCTTCTGTTTTCTTCACAGTGCTATTCAAAAAAGGTGGTTATTTACCTTGTTACTTGCTGAGACCTTGAAATTATGTTCAGCAGATCTCGAAAGCTTGTTTTATCATAACATATCACATCTTCGAATAGTATATAACGCTAATTTACCTATCACTAGATTTTTAAAGCAGGAAAAAAAGGTTCTAAAATGTAATGTATTTAGTTAGATTTATTTTGAGTTTCTATACCCAGAAAATGGATTATAATGGGCGGTTGTTAACCAAACAGTAATCGATTCATGTTACGGTTTTGAATACTGCTTTTTCAATTGTCTGGAGCCATGCTAACGTCAGAAATACCAAATCTGTCAATGAATATTAATCTCAATCTCTTAAAGATTTGTGGGTGTTACTCGGGCGCGCTTTATGTTTTGCAATAGATTATCTTGTTCTGTTTTCCCAACAAACTCCACTTAACAGATATAATGAAAAAATTTTGAATAGAAAACCTGTTGTTGTATGGCTGGTGTCTTATTACGCTCTCACCATGGCGTACCCCTAGCACCCCACGATTGCGTTCCTTGCTTCAATTCGCTTGTTGTGTTCTAGGGAATATATTTTTAGGATTTCGGAGCAAATGAGCATACCCGCGGTAACCCACTTTGTACTTTAAAGCCATATTATAAAAACATCTCCAGAGCTCTTGCCCACAGACTCAGTTTCAGAGACACAACGCGGAGGACAATTAACGGCAGGCTCATTCGTTTTCCTTTGAAAATCAAGAAAATCTTCGAAAGGAGGCTGAGAACCGCTAATTTTTATCTTTCGTTTGAAGTTACATTTTTCCGGATTGAGGTTTCAAAGCGGACTCCAAAAATTACAATTTCGGTTATTTCATTAAGGAATAACTTTTAAGTCAAGAATCAGTGTTTTCTGCTACTAACTAAACACTTAGCGTTATCAATTTTCGCGATTATAATTATCACCCTAATGACAGAAACTTACGATACAATACTGCGTTCATATACTCGGCCCACGCACAAAAAGCAAAAATAGCAACGAAAATCCCTTTCATTCGGTTTCTTTTTTTAAAAAAATCATTTTTAAAGCTTTTTTAAGGTCTTCTCTTGAAAATTGCTTATATAAAAATCCCTACCTTTCTTAAGTAACAGGCGAAATGATTTTCTAAGCAGAAGCGATTTAGACAATACAAAGCATAATTAGTGTCTCACTCGAGCTTTGTTTATATTAAGGTCGGTGATTTTCCATCGCGGAATTATTTCTCTCGATAGGTTATTTTGTAAACCTCAAAGATTTTTAGGCAAATACCACTAAAGCACGCGAGAAGGAGATTCGTCTTCCGAAATAATTCCTGCCGGAGTAAGTAATCTTCCTTAGCAAAATTAGCATATTTTCATCAACAGCGGCTTCGAAGTAATGAAGAGAGTGTGAGTGGCCGACAGTGGAATTATAATAGATAGCGTTTTCTCGCTGAATAATAAATAGGCCCATTTCTCCCGGAGCCCCGTAGTGGCAGGTGTTTGGGTTATAATCGTGAAAGTTTTAAAAAAGAGCTAAAGGATGACGTCGAGAGGATAAACGGTAATTTCGCTCAATCAAAATTGCTGTGCGCACTCAATCGCTCACAAGATGTTATCGGTTGTTTTGTAATCTTGGGCTGATTTTTCGTTTTGTTTGATGATGTTATATCATGCAAAATTGACAAGACTTCCCGGTCTTGCGTTTGTCGATTCTGCCAGCAATTAAAGCAGCTCACTGGGAAAACATGGTGCCAGTGTTGACCGGATGAATAATGCGTTTTAAAAGTGCAATGCACCCGACGAGCAAATGACGAGTTTCTGTGCATGCCAGTCGCCGTCGCGTCGAAGAAAAATCACTGCCGATGCAGCATCCATCGAAAATGAAAAGGTCCTGGAAGAATTGCAGCCGCTGCCCAACGGATTCTCTCACCAGCATGGTGACAGCCTAGAGCATGAGAGTACTCCCTGTTTAGCCGTAGATGAATCTACTGAAATTAATACAAAGACTGTGCGTTGGCAAAGACTACATAGAGTTTGGGAATACTACCTGAGGCACAACACTCTTCACGGCCTCCATTATGTGTTCGACACGAAGTCAATTTGGCGCAAAATGATGTGGGTAGGTATACTCTTAATCTGTGGTGGAGTGTTTTTGAACGAGGTCAGGCAAAGCATAACTCAGTATCTTCAGTATCCGTTTAGCACTCTGTCAACTGTGGACTATCCAAATAAATTAGAGATTCCAGCTATTTCGATATGCGATTTGCGAGATATCAGAAAAACTATACTAAACAGCTCGAAGGTCAACTGGACCAGCAGATCGGAGGCGAACTCTACGACACCGAATTCCACTGCTACCATGACTGATGTACTTGAAGATTCTTTGTCAGTCTTAGACGAGATTCTTATTTCTTGTTCTTTGAAGCGGGGAGTGACCAATAAAAAGGCTTTGCCTTGCGACAAAAGAAACTTTTCTCTGTTCATATCGTCGGATGGGCATTCTTGTTATACGCTAAATTCCGGAAGAAATGGTGGCAGACTTATGGAGACAGATAATGTTGGCCCTCTATACGGCGTGCATATGGTAGTGAATACAGAGCCTCTTGAAAAAGGCAAGACATACGGTAGCAGTGGACTTAAAGTTATTCTCCACCAACATGAGGAGTTGCCTCTGAAGCGAGTAGGTTTCCATGTACCTCCAGGTTATGTGACTTATGTGGACATGAAAAAGCAAAAGGTATTTTTTTTCTTTTATTTCCCAGTTATTTATCACTCTAGTTACTGTTGGTTTGTACTTGAACCAACCATTATTTGTACGACTGCAAACTCGATTATAATGCATGTCATGAAAGAAGTAACGGGAGAATTTAGTTCGTAATTACACACTGCGAGTGGACGTCTATTGTTAGGGAAAGCTGACTGCAAATCTGACATCTTAAGTTTTAAAACTTCAGATAGATCTTTCGATGTGTAGAAAATTTCCTCGTTGTCGTTGGTATTTTTTTTTTATTTGGTGTAAAAGACGTGAACATGTTTGTTGTTAATCGAGCCTGTTTTAAACGCGGGTCTAGCTTAAACTTGCTTGCTTCGCGATTAAAATCAGGTCCTCCTGTTTTGAAAAATGTTTTCTCACAATTGAATAATAAGACCCGGCTGCATTCTGATATAATTCAACATGAATATCCTTCAAAGGAGTTCACGTGTTAGAGTAAAACAAGTGAGCCATTATTTTGTGCGTCATAAGAGAAATACATGTAAAGAAGATTCTGGATTGAAGAAAGAAATTGCTAGCACTTGTTACCTCGGTTGCAATAGATCTCGCGCAAGAACGAACTTTTATTACGACCTTATTTTAGGTTATCATGTTTTATTTTCATTACCCAGTTTAAGTTAGTCCTCGATTGATAATAGCGTCCTTCTTTGATAATGGCATACTTTTGTGTGGTTCACGAATAATGACGCACAAAAACGAAGACAAGTTTTGTTATCAGCAAAAGCGAAGAATTACTTGTAAAGGTTTTAAAAGCCCGCTGAGAATTTTGAAGTTCAGGGCAAGGACAATTTGCGCTCGCTGTGAATCGGTCGGTCCACATGAAAACAAATTAAATCATCGAATTCGAAAGAATGACAAATCTCTCTTCGAAAGAACGCTTCAGGGACTTTTCAATATTCCTTGGTCATTCATTTAAAACAACCGTTGGGCACGATTTCAGTTCCAGGATTTTGAATGTGAATTCCCTTTCCACATCATCGCCTCCTCGCATCATTTTGGTGACTGAGCATTCATTTTCAAATTATGTATCAAGCACGCTAGTTCTGTGACGCATTCGAATGGCATGGCCTGACCACGAACATTAAAATTTTACGACCAAGATGCCTGTGGTAATTTTTTGGCATGTAATTTTTTCAGCTACAAAATATTGGTGTGAGGAATTTTTTGTGTACAGTCCCGCGCTCCTTGCGTTCACTTTGAATGTCTAGAGGAGATTTCTGTTATGTTTATTTTGTGTTTTGCTGATCTACATACTGAAATCTCCAAATGGATTTTTATTAGAAATGTCTTTTTTTTCGTGTTTCATAATATTCTCAGTGCCTTTTGAACGTATTTTACGTTTGCGAAAGAAAGAGCTTCTTAATGGTTTTTAAACGACTTTTGCGTCGAAATATGCATCCATTTCCCCTTTCTTTGTGAATCTGACAAAACGCGTTAATTGAAACACAGTACTTGTAATCAGTTTCTGTTGATGTTAGAACACACAACTTTTAAATCAGAAATTACTTCTCAGATGAAATGTTCTCTAGAACTCTTCTAAAAATTATGTATTGTTTGGGTTTTAATATGCAGAAGATTGAAAATATTGTTTCAATGATAACGTACCTGAAAGTAGATAAATGAATATACGTTTTTCGCACCTTTCAACAAAATGCTTATCGAACCAAACTGTGATTTCTTTTTAGCCTATCAACTTTCGAACTCTTATTTTTTCTTTTTTGTGTATAATGTTACACCGTAGTTAGCCTCGGTTTATAATGCGTTCTCTCGTTTCATAAAAAGTTTCCCTGCTGATGGCGTCGACGTTGCCATGCCAAATGTCATGTTTAGAGCTAACGACCACCACATTAATTTGGAGACTTTACTCTAGACGTTTCCCAGTGTTGAATAGCTATTTTATCTCATAGGGTGTTATGCTTATAAGCTATCATTCATCTTAGCTTTTATCTGTAACGTCATACTCGTCAACTATTATCCTAGAAAACAAAATACCCTCCGTAGCATAAATACCAATTTCTGTACGAGTATCCATCACGTCGAAGAACTATTTATTATTATTATTATTATTATTATTATTAACATTATTATTATCATCATCGTTATCAATATTTTTGTTGTTGTTGTTGTTCAAAAGCAAAACGAAAATTTTAGAGTGAAATGTAGCAGTACCTAGCGTTATTGAAACCAGCATTGCTTTGACAGTCAGTCTGATGTAAAACAAACCCATGCTTTCTTTTGAAAAAAAGGTTTCTATCATTTTGGGTATAGTAAGTTGCGATGATATTACCGACAATACCTCCACATTTATCCTCCTGCTGCAAACTGCATTAACGTTTAATCATGACTGAAAAAGCCCGGCCCCAAATTTCGTTCGAAAAGTTGAAACAACCTCAGTATACTTAAGTCTATTCCTATAATTTGAATGATCGTGTTCCGAAATTTGGTTATCGGACGAAAGAGACTTGCATCGTTAACGAGATCAAAGACAAAGATGACAACTGTTTTTCTAATAATGACACCTATGCTCAAAGGTCTGCTTATGTGTAACTTGCCTTTAAATGTCTTTAACGGTCTTGGTGTTGACAGCTTATTCGATGAATGATGACCGTGAAGTACGATTGAAAAACACTTTGCTTGTGAGCAGACTTTTGGGCTGAGATTTGTTTTATAAAGAATTTCCCTAGTCTAAATACAATACTGTTTGTGCAAAACTGCGTTTCTTCTTTCCGGTTTCTTTCTCTTTTTTAGCTAACCGTTTTCAACAACAGTTTGGCAAGATTTTCATGTAAACTTAATCTGTTAAAAACATAGCAAAATATATTATAAGAATCTATTTAGAGATACATTTATTTTAAAACAAAAATCAACGATATAAAAGTAACTTCGATAAGAAATTAAAATGATTCGTTGAAATATATATAAAAAAAGGGAATGTGAAACTCTTTAATTGCCTTTTGTCCATTTTCACGCATGCTATTTTCAAATTTTGCATAAACCATTGTTTTTAAATGCTCCTGGGAGTATTGCATTTTCCCAAGAGCATTTTAAGACAATAAGTTATGCAAAATTTGGGGGGCAGACAGAGTGTATTATGGGGAATTGGAAAATAGTCAATATGTATTTCCACGCGTCATGTTAATTTTGTGTTTTTTTGATAACGATAACATGAAGCCAACGAAACGTCAAGTTTCTGTAACGTGTCCGTCTTAAAGAAAGTTGACTATATGAAAAGCTGTCATAGTAGCCATACTGCAACATTAACAGCGGCATGTTGTTTCCTTATAGCTTATAAATCTTCGCAAACCTTTTAGAACCAATTGTGGTGGGAAAAATTTGGATTATTTTCCCGAGTATTCAAAAAACAAGTGTCTTTTAGAAGAAATAACAAAGAACGTTACCAGAAAGTGTGGCTGCCGTGGATGGTTTATGCCAGGTGAGACTTTCTATTTCATTTGTTCTTTATGGGTGAAAGAAAGAAAATCAAGAAAAAAAAATATGATCTATAATATATAGATAATTTTTTTCCCACCTCACCCTGCATTTTTAAGTGTGCGTAAAATTTGTTACGAGGCTCTTAAATATTGTCGATGGTTCTGTACAGTTGATGGTATCGCTCTTTTGTTTACTACTTCACGGTTTCATTATTAGATGTCCTAACTTTTGCATTTTTTTTCGTTTGTTAACTTATTCTAAATGACTCTAAACCGAAAACTGGTTTTAGAATAATCATGTAAAGTTTAGTAACGCCCGCGCTGCGATTGTGTAGCGGATACACACCTCCTTGCAGCCGCGTTTCTTTGGAAGTATTTAGTGAACTTACGCAACAGGACGGGAGATGAGAGAAGACGGCAAACCTTGTTTGACAAGTGTGACAATAATTTTGTTTGAAATAACTTTTCGCCAAATTTCACTTTCCTTGAAACAGATCTTTTTTGTAAAAGACCAGAAAACATAAATATTAAGTGAAGATCACGGCAAACACGTAAGTAATGGCCCTGTCACTTTTGTAACACAGGAGCATTTTGCCGTCCTCTTCTTCCTGCCGTCCTGTTGAGTAAACTCACTATTATCGGCTAAAAGGTTTCCAGTTCTCTTCATTGTCGGTGAGGGTAGTGTGTGACCGTTAATCTTCTATCAATCCCCCTTCGACTGCATGACCTCCAACTTCATGTACTTGTACTTTTTCACTTTACGTTTTAGTTTTTTATGGAGAAATGATACCATTGTCTTCGTTAAATTAACAAGGACCTTAAGATCCGAGGACGGCGACGGCAGAGAAAACATCGCTGAAAAAGTGAATTCGCGTCCTTTCAATCTTCATCGCGATTACTCCAAGTCACTAACTTTGTCAAATGTAGGCGAACCCTCCTAAAGTTGAACTCCTAAGAATCATGTCCAAGGTGAAAAAGAGAGAGGAAATTTCGTCGTCGCTTGTGTACTTCCTCCGTACATCGTTAAATTAGGCATTTTCACGTCGTAGTCGCGTAGTGACGGCAAAGAAATTTACAAAAAAGCGTGATTGCTTTGTGGCGTTCCCGTTGCTGTCGTGGTCGTCGGATCTTAAGTTCCCTAATTAATCCCCCGTTGGGGGTGGGGGGGCGCTTAACAGAGGATTTACGATACCTCAATTGATCGCGGTCAGGTCAATATCACTAAAAACCCTTATCATTGCAGCAAATGCATCCTTTTAACCGTTTTAGCTCTAACATAGACATGCCGTTTATCTTTCGGTCATTTGCTTGCCTCTTAACACTTGCTTTTTAGCGCAGAAGTATAATTACAAGGAGAAATGGCCTCTTTGCGGCTGATCCAACACGTGATACAAAAACATGCCCAAATTTTATTCTTTCATTAGCGTGGCCTCTTTGTATAACATGAGTCATCAGCTTCAAATGGCTTATTTCTCCTTGTAATTGTACTCGATTTAGCCGAAAGAAGGTTAGAGGGCCTTATTGAATAACCATTTTCAGCAATAACCCACACTTTTCCTTTTTTTCGGTGTAGAAACAGCGGATAATTATACACTGTGTTCATTAAACAAGACTCTTGATTGCATGTGGCCAGCATGGGGTGAGTGTAATGCTAATTTTAAAGAACAAAAACAGAAAATACATAAACATGAATGAACATGGTTTATTCGTTTTCTTTGTTTGTGTCCTCTAAGAATCGCTATCAATGCTTAATTTTAACATATCGAAAGTGGCCTATTGGTGTGGACTGTCAGGCCACACGCCCACTTGAATTAGAGGAAGTGTACCATGGTTTTTACAGTGTTCCGTCACCCGCCAATGTACATTGGCAAGAGCCATTATGGCTCTTAACATTGGCTTCGGTTGGCGGTGGTGTAAACATGTTGATGTCTTTTTTACATTGTTCTTTTTGCTCCGAAAGGTTTTTCTTCGACTGCTATTCAAAAGCAAAGGCTGAAGAACCCAAACTTTCAAATTCTCCCTCGATCGGACGCCAAACAACTGTTAAACGAACTTTTTTCCACGTGTTTGGGTGGATAAACGCATTACCCTGACATTTTAGTTCACCTACAGTGTATGTAGATGTTTGCAGTGCAAGACTTGTTCCATTGAACCTGACATCGCTGAAGCCCTTTTAAATAATATTAACTCAAAACTTTCGTCTTTCCTTATTTTTTTTAGAGGAAACTGAACAGCGGAACGGAAATAGCTGCCCGGTTGATTGTGAGAAGGTGTCATATAAATCATCCTTATCCGCGGCTTTATACTTACCACAGAAGATGCTGCCTGTGTTAAAGTATTCCAATCTCAGGGAAGCCAAAAATATGCCTAATGATACTGATGGCATGGTGAATTTTATGTTGTAAGTATTTGTGCCTCACTCAATCAGTCCACCCAAAATATGTCTTGACTCTAGCTCTTTGTTTGGAAGTCGGGCAAGAAAAACAAACGTTTTCTACAGTTAGTTAAAACAGAACAGTACATTACATTCCCCTAAGACGCTGTCTACTGTGCTATTGAAGAGTCTTAAATTTTATCTAGGAATGAAACCCAGATAAAGCAACCGAGCAAAGAGAGTTGGTGAAATCCCTAAGTGTGACCAGTCAAATTAAAGTAGATTCTTTTTTATGAGAACGTTCAGCCTGAAATTTTCCAAAATGTTAAGAACATGCCAGGAAAATACCCGAGGCTCAGAGAAGAACAATTTATTTTTCACTACTTTTACTTTCCTAAATCTAGAAAATCTGAATTCCATGTCCTACTATGGAATCAGAGAGCATGTAAATTTTGTTCTTTCAACACATTCCTATTGTGTATGATCAATAATACATTTACTTTGTACTTGTACAATTCATTAATATGAAAAATATAATCATTATCTTATCTTCTCTATATATGTAGCTTAAACGTTATCAGATTTTCGTTATTGATACTTAGGAAATTCCTGGAGAACCTTTCCAGTCTGAAACTGCCCAGAAAATAAGAACGGTCCAGGGTCAACTCGAAACGTGGACGTTCTTATCAAAAATTAAAAAAGAAAAGAATTGGCTGCGGAGTAGTACGTTTCGATGGTCTTTTTTATGTTTGCTGTGCAAGTTGGTTATAACTTGGGCGAAATCCTAGCCTGCGTAGCGGGCGCTTGGAAGTAGTGGGCACAAGAAAAAACGGGCGCGCGAGAAGGAGACACGCGAGGGGAGAGGAAGCGCCTGCACGGAAGGCCCCCGAAAATCGTTTCCCGCCCCCTCTCTAATTACTTGGCAGCCGTTGCGTGAAATGTCAAAAGTTTTGACAGAAAACGACTGACCTCGCACAAACAAAGCAAGCCGCCAAAAAGCGTTGTACATTTTATCTTCGGTCTAAATATATCTGTTATAAAGATCAGCTGGGTTATCTGATTATAGAGCGATGGAGCAATAAACTGATGGTTAACACACAGCTTTAAATCGTTTTTAACCATGGGCACAATAAATAGGAAATAACAAAGTCAAAGCTGGGTATCTTTTAAAGAATGCATGCTGTGTATTATAAAAACTAAAAATATTGTTCTGGTCAGACACCAACGATCACAGCGTACGAGGAAAATGACCATATTGCTTTTACTGCGCTAACTGGCAGCCGTTTTTGGAGCAGACATGTCTTACTAAGCGGACCTAAACCTCAGAACACAAACTGGTACCGACATGTTTTCTACTGCAGTAATGAGACATAAACAACAGACCTCAGGTCGCCTCCGAACGGCGAATAATACTAACAATAGTGAAATGTTTTTTTCAAATTCATGTCCCTGGTAAGTGTTTCGTTTCATCAATCACGTCCAAGTTTTGATGGTATACGTTCCATCGACAGTACCAGCCGCCAAGTTCTCCTGAGCAAAGAATATTTCCTCTGATCTTCATTGCAACGATTCGACAAATCTTTTGTCTCTCGCCACTTCTGCTGATGCGTATCCGATGTCAATTCTTTCCATCGTGAATACCGTTTGAACACTCCAACTTTTCTTTGAGATTACAGCCACATAGTACCATTAAACCAGATTGAAGTGACCTCCGAGACCTGAACTTCGATTGTATACAATTTAGTGGTTTCAGGACCCAGTGGTGTAATGCAAGATCTTCACTACGTTGTCCATGTACTATTGATTGACAGTTTTCTCGCCCCGCGCGGTTAATTTTTCCTTCGGGAGCCTCTCGACCAACTGGAAATATCCGCACTCACAGAGTGCGAGTTGAAACGATTTTTGGGGGCCTTCCGTGCAGGCGCTCCCTCACCCCTTGCGTGTCTCCCTCGCGCGCGCCCGTTCTCTCTTTCGTCCGCTACTTCCAAGCGCCTGCTACGCAGGCTAGCGAAATCCTAAAGAGTGACCATTCAAATACTGAAAGCTATTGAGCAGTGCGCCCCTACGAAACTCTTTATTATGCTCTACAAGGTGGTTTTAACATTTGAGATTGAGGATGACACGCTAAAGCTGCTTCAATTTTTTACACTGCGTATCAAACAGATCATAACCTCCAAGGCTAGGCGCTTGCAAGGGACCAGCTGTACAGAAGCGCAATTCTTTTTGGACACAATATTTTTCATGATCAGAACTCCTTATAGTTTGTATTTTTCATTGCAGAGACTACTATGTGGTGTTATCATTCTTCTATAGCGAACTTAGGGTTGACATTTTTGAACAGACTCCAGTTTACGGATTTTTCAGGCTGCTGGGTAAGTAAAATTGTTTCGGTTTTAGGATTTCTTAGTGTGTATACAAAATGCACATTATTTGTTTCCTATGTGGTTTATTTTGAGAATTCCCCTACTATTACTTTAAAGTTGAAGTTTGTTTAATCTGTAAGTAGGTGGGTCTTGGTGTGTTACGAAAAATATTTGATGTTATGATGAAGGTCTCCTCGCCAGCATTTGGGCCTGCCGAGACCCTTGACATGGTGTAAGTGATTAATTTGGTCTTTAAATGGTAATTGATCGTCCATGGATGCCATAGGCCGATTGCATCAACGCAAACTACCTAAAGAATACTAGAAATCCCTCTCCCATCACCCGCTGACCACTCCATCAGGAAATTATTATCTTTAACTTTCCTGAAGGTTGTTTATTAATAAGTTAAGTAGCGATTATACAATAAAATGCTTAAAACGTTTTGTAGGACTTAATTAAGACTTTACCCCTATTTAAAGTGGTAACTACTCTTATTTGAAAAACTAGTTTTCAGGTACGCCACTAATTAAAACTACTGTACAAATCAAACTTAAAAAGTAAAAATCTCCCCCCTTTAAAAATTTGAAAAATTAAAAACATAAAATCCTAAAAATATTTACAGTTAAAAACGTATTTGGACCATGGTTAAAGGGTACGGGTATGGTTAAGTTCATCTTCTGTGTTAAGATTTACTGAGGTTCATTGAAAGCTCTCATTTAAAGTCTTATTTGTAACAGTCGCGACAGTACAGTTGACTCCCTGTTAACGGACATCTCTGTAAGACGGAAACCTCTGTAAAACGGACACCTTGAGTTAGTCCCTGCCTTTCTTTACTTCGTTTATTTGACTCTCTGTAAGACGGACTTCTCTCTAAGACGGTCAGTAGTTCCGGTTCTAAATGTGTCCGACTTAGAGAGAGAGATAACTGTATTCTTAAGTATCATGTCGTATTTGTTTCAGGTGATGCTGGTGGACAGCTTGGACTTGTGTTAGGCGCCAGTGTCGTTACAATACTGGAATTTGTAGACCTACTTATCTTTCTCGCCATCAACTGGTTCCGGTCCAAGCCGTAGAGGAACATCCCAGATATTACTTAAGTGAGGTGTCCACAAACTAGTGTAAATGGGTAGTCGGTCTCTGTGATTGTTAGGTGTACAAATAACGGACTGATTGGTGTAGGACGAATCTTTCGCAGTTTGCTAAAGGTGTTTAAGACCAAATCAAAAGTTATAAGAGGTCGCTTTAAAGGGAGCAGAAAAAAGGGAAACAATACTTAACTGCGCAAACTGCGTTAAGTAATAAAGATACAACCAGGCCCAACAAACGCCCCGGCAGTCGCCAAAATCAAAAACAAGACCAGTTAATTGTCTTAAGACCCAACGCAGACGAGATTGTACAAAGAGTAAATTTTGAGATATGCGGAATATGTCGGTGTCAGCTCCTAAAAGGGGGCAGAAATACTGATATAAATATCTATTCCCTTGTTCATACAATTCAACAACAGTAAAAGGGTCAGTATCGTCGCTTCACTCTTGCCTCCCACCTCAGTTACCTGCTACTTTATGTACAAACATGTTTACAGAAAAAACATACTTAAGAGTTCTATGTTCATCGCTTTACCTCGCAAACAAACTCGATGACTACGGAATCCTTGTGGCTGGCAAGACTTGGGCTCCATATTGTGTTGGTAGATTATGGAGTAGTACTCCATTAGTAGTATTGTGGGCAAAGTTCGTTAAGTGTAGCTCACGGATTAAGGAGAGAGTGCCATGCTGTAAATTATAACTTCGTCACTGAGTTGAGAAGCTTAAACTCAACGACCACAGACTTCATCTGAATTCCGTATTTACTCGAATAAGCACCTCATGTGATGCGCGCGAAGATAGTAAACGCCGTGGGTCTTTTTCGAGTAAATACGGTAGTTCGAACAGACATGCGGAAACTTTCAAAACTAACAACATCGCATACATCAATTGTTGAATGTAAAACGCTATCATGTTAACCATGAAACTCCGCCTCCATGTTTCTGTAAATTTTGTGAATTTTTTTAAAAACATGTCACTGCTGGAAACCATTTTACTCAGTTGGTTTCCCTTGATTAAATGGGTAATTAATTGATTTTTTATTGAAATTAGTCTTTGACGCAGTTTTTAAGGAGCCATATATATTTTCTCATACCTAACATTTTGAGCAGGTTAGGACTAAGTCGAGGTGTTCAATCTTGTGGGATAAATGTTATGCATTGGTGGTTGTGTCCTTGGCGTAATATCTGCTCGCCATAATAGGTAGTTACGTAATTTGAATTGATTTTAGTGCAAAAATGGACATCACAAATAAGCCATTTCCGAGTTCCACAAACTCTCGCTGTCAAAACTAGGCTAACTGCAAAACCTCTCTTCTGAAAATGAGCTTTAATTGCATGAGAATAAACAAACTCATCTTCGCACTTAGCCCCACCTTAAAAAAGAGGCTTGGGGCTACTCGGAAATGGCCTATTTAGGACCTAAAAGTTGACTAAAGTGGGAATAGTGTTGTGACACAAAAGTTTAGACTCGCGACAACAAATTTTACGTATTTTACGCAATATATACCTGATTAAATGAAGGTTGCTTTGGGATTTGGGCATTGGGCAATTTCACGCTTGGAAGCCATTGTTTCACTGGCGGTTACTCAAGCAAAGCATTTCAGTGAGTTCCTTATGCTAAATGCGCAATATCCAATTGTCAAAAAGAAATCACCAAGTCAACCTTAACTATGATAGAATTAGGCTATGAACTCCTAGGTGATTTTGATCGCCCAAGTCATCTCAAGTGGTGTTCTGACGATTGCATTAGACAGTCCTATGGAGACACCTCACATAAGATGCGGGACGATTAGGACTTAACGCGCGATTGCAATTGCCTGGATATAGTTTAACTCTCTATAAAGGCTAATGTCCGCATCCCCCAGTTGTCCCTTAAAATCGCGCAGATTGAGATGATCCGACCGATCAAATTGAAACCAAGCCTCGTGCAACCACACTCGAAGAAAGACTCTTCTGCAACATCGCTCCCAACTTTAGCAAGTACTTGTAAATCCAGTGCGATAATTTAGGGCACTGCGGTATGTTCAGAGTTGAGTAGGTACAATAGACAATTAAATGCGCATAGTAACATACCTATTTTTGACGTGGTACAGAGCGTTTTCACTCACGTGGCGGCCAACATCTATGCAAAAATATATTGGAACAAAAGAACGCGTTTACATAACAAAAGAGTTCAACTGCCACAGGATTGGTTGGGAACACCACTATGGCCCCGCTCCTTCCTCTTTTTGTGTTTTTTTGTAACACCAATATGGCCGCCGTGACATCATGTAAAAACGCTCTATAGGTTATATATTGTAAGCATAAAGTTAACGGCAAACAGTCGAGATTACCACGCGACTATTTTTCCCATTGTTGACAACGCTAGTCGCTGGCCGTTTACAACATAAAGATGAGTACTCACGTGTTCATGAAATTCTTGAGCGAGAACGTTATTTTATTATCTATCTGAGGCCGTGTGCTGTATCCCGTTTGCCCAGAACGTGATGCTTACTATAACTCCCTTGTTAAAAGTGTTACAAAGGAGCTTGAAGGTCCTCATACTGCTTAGATGATAAGTTTGATTGCATGCTGAGAAACGTTCAGAACTACAAGTTCGAATTCATATTGTGTTTTCCCAATGACTGAAATGCTTGTGGTTCAATAGGACAGTCCTTTTTCAAAAGGAAAAGATTGACTGAAAGGACGTTTCTTTACGTGCTCTTGAAATAATCATATATGATAATCATAGCAATGAAAAAATTATGTCTCAAAGATATAGAAGATAGTGGAAAGAAATTATGATCTATTGATAGTGTTAAATAAATATAATTTTATTGTGTTTTTACGTTTTTGACTTTCTGAATTGAGTGGGTCAGAATAACGTCTTTTTCCTTGTAGTCACGCATCCTTTTGATTGTCTTTTATGCCTTCGGTGCGCTAACATGATTGATCAGAAAATCTTTGCTGCCCAATCAGAAGCGTGTACTTAGCGAAAGCAGAAAATACCATAATATTCTTTAATTTCCCATTGGATGGTGCTTGATGTAAATCCCGCTTTTGCAATACATTGTGTTCTCTGATTTGCGCGTGAAACGCAGCAGCTCTTCGTAAACTTGCTCGCGCAGTTCATGCAAAGAACAAAAGATAATGCAAAAGTTTGGTTTACTTGAAGCCCCACCCAAACGGCAGTTTAAAGAAGATTATGGTGTCTTTCGCTTCGGCCAATTCAAAAGCCGGGTCGGCAAGAGTACGCCTCAAGTATCTTTCTCGCGTTCCAGACGTAAATTGTAACCCGCCTTGATAACGGAATTGAGGCGGGTATCCGAGTATGGTGTAATATAGCTCTATTGAAATCGGGTACCCAAGGTGTTAGCACAACATAATCAGTTTGTGCTGGTATCCAGGCACTAAATCTTGGGCACCAAGTGTAGCAGAGTAAAATTATGACGGTGTTGTCATCAGGGAATTTCTATGCTGGACCTTGCTCGATCCATTGATTAGATCTCTGCATCACGTCATTAGAGACCTTTAGATTCAAGGACGAGGACAACGAGTTCGAGATTTGACTTCAAGTTTTTTCGCGTATTCTCAAAATATAGACTCCCCGGGAAGCTTCATTTTACCATTTTTCACCAGAAAAGTTAGCACTGTTACCCTTAGCGAAGGAAGTTACACCCTCTCCCGATCGCAAAATGATAAAACTTCTAACATTTGATAACTTGTTTCCGCCAACTTCGACATTATCGCTAAAACTCGTAGTAGACTGACGAAGGCTACCACATTTTCCCGCCAAAATGTCGCTGGTTCACGCGCGAGTACTACTTAGTTTTGAGAAAATCCCGCACTCGTAGTCGTACTCGTCTTAGAATCTTAAGGTCTCTAATCTATTATCAGGCTACTAAGTCCTCTAGAGATTTCTGTAATCGACTAAGGCTATGTTTACACTATTCTGGATAGGTTTTCATGCCGGTATAGTATGAACAGCAAAGGAACAGAACTGGAACAAGTCCTTCAAACACATTGAACATCGTTCCGGTGCGTTTGGCCGAGAGGGTTTGGGGCACTCAAATCCAGTCCTTACTCCTGAATATCTTCTTCCATGGATTCCAGTCTTATTCACTTTCTTTACGGTCCAAATACCTGTTCACACTGCATTAAAGGGTTGAAGAGAACTTATCCGATATGTCACGCTCCACTTTCAAGATTGGCGCGGGAGCTTTGCTCCTTTACAGAAATCGCGCGGAAATCACAGTTGTTATGTGTCAACAGAAGCCTCATCCGGTATGGTTTTCGTACCGGCGCAAGCGCTGTACGGTATATAGTATGAGCAGAATTTGAGTTTCTAGTTGGTTGGTTGATAAACTTTACGCCCAGCTCGGGCCGGGATCCAGAGGTCTTGTATATGAGTAAAACTGACATAACCACATTAACGTTCCTCCCCTCAAAATTTTGTTTGCCCTGGCTTAGAAACTTTATGTTTTTTGGTTCAAGAGGAGCGGTTATATACAGTGTTATTTAAAAGTACATAACTTAAAAGAAAAGACTTCCAAACACCACTCGTTTTAATATTGCAGTAATATTGCGGTAAATACACACATATTTGGATATTTTTGAAAAAGGAGGAACGCCGTCTTATAGTTTTCGCGTGGACGAAAAACAAAAACGGCGTTTACGAATACGATTATGTCATGCATCATGCTGCGCATGTCCTTTTTTGGTGTTGTCGTGTGGATGGGCACTGTAGGAAGCTTAAGCAACGACTTCGACGACGGCATCGAGAACGGATCAAAAGCAAGAGGTTAAAATTACCAAAACAAAACTTTGATTGGCATCGATCACGCTTTTTGTACATTTATTTGCCGTTGTTGCACGACCGCGACGTCAAAATTCCTAATTTCACGTTTTCGGGAGGACGTTAACACAAGACAACGATTTTTCTAATTCTTTTTTTAAACTTAGATACAGTCCTTTAGATTTCAACTGCAGAAAAATTTGCCAGCATTTGACAAATTGAACGCCATGGAATAAGAGTAATAAATTTTGAAACAGCGTGAACTCACTTTTAAAGAGACATTTTCGCCATCGTAGTCGTCGTCATTGCTTAAAATTCCTATTCTTGTCTCCAGAGCCCCTCGTTTCTTGGTCACGGGGTCTTGAAACGAGGAGTTTGTTACAAATTAAGCCGAGTGGCTGTGGGAACGAGAATGATGGATGAGCGAAAACGATTCGAGCGCTTGATGGACTCATATTTTTTCGAAAACGGAGAAAAAAAATCTCCGTTTTAAAGATATCCAGATACGCGTGGACGAGGTCTCAAAACTTTTGTTGTTCACGGTCCCTAATTTGTCGAAAAATTCTCTCCATAGCTCCTCTCTCCGCTCCCCCACAGAGGCCTCGCCTCTTTTTATCGTAGGGAGGGCGAGGGACAAGGAAAAAGAAAGCGCGCGGGGCACGATGGGAAGGGAAAAGAGAGGCCTGCTCCCGCCTTTTCCCTCTTCCCATCTTCCCCTCGCGCGCTTTCTATTTTTCGATTTTATTGGGATACCCAGCGGTAGCCTCTGCGGAGGAGAGAGCCGTAACTCAACAAATCCCAACAGATGAGAAAATCGTTTTTTTTCCTGCTGGCATCACCCACACACTAACGGCACGAAACATACGGAACAACAATGGGCGAATTTCCGTTGCATATATATATTTTTGGTTTGTTCTAGATTATATGTGGAAAGAAAACATAATTGAGGAAGATTGATTTGATGGAAAAGTATAGAAATACCGGAAGGTATTCAGTTTTTTCTTTCTGAAATAGCTGAATTACTGGTTGCTTTTCAAGGCGGTATCTTGGCTATGTTATAAATAACTACCAGTTCAGTTGATCAATAAGCTGGGAATAACCGCCTAACGATGAAGAATTTACAAACTGCTGTGCATAGACTTATCCAGAATGGTTATACCGCCTGCCGCTTTTTAAAGTAAAATATTTTTTAGGAAACCCTATAGCTCTTGCTTTATAAACAGGACGAAGTTGTAACACATCCAATAAAAATATTAAATATAATCGACTGTAAAATAAGCTTATTTTCGTTTCGCGATAGCTTTATCAACACTTAACGTCCAGTTTTTCCAAATCGCTTTCCCGGGTTTTCTTTGGTGTTAATTGAGAACTTTCCATATATTTTCAAGCTCGAGCCGCGTGAAATTTGCCAATTTCTTTAATCTGAAAATCTGAAAATCTTTATATTAATATTAACACGTCGTTGCAATTATTATATTTTCCGAAATTGTGCAACATGGGGCTATGTATTTATTCATACTTTTTTGAGGGTTATGAATGAATTTCACTTTTTACTTCTAAGCTTTAGCTTTATGGTGATGTGACTTTAGCAATACTCACGGATACATCAATCTTTTTTAATGCGCCCTTTCTAAAAATCACAGAAAATCGTTTGCGGTTCCTGCCTCAAATCGCAGCTTTGCGCCGGATGAATTAATTATTAACAATTTGCAAATATTGCACTAGCAGAATTATACATGTATCTTTATCTCTACTAAAAATGTATTTGTACACTAAAGGTCTTATCTTTCTTTTAGAGATGCGTCAGTCTTTTTTCACCATTATGACATGCTGAAGTTAAAAATGGCCATATAAACTTGCTAATAAGCAGGATAAGCTCAAACCAGAGCCGCAAAAGAAATATTACCCGCGGTTTCGACTTTTTGCTTAAAATTCAAGCGGTAGTTTAGTCTTATTCAGAGATAACATGCCGGGTTTTAACCGTCGGCAAGTCTACCAAACATCCCTAAGCAACTTGAAACGTCTTTCCTGGTATTCTGTGATAACAATTTTGCATAGGAAATAAAAGTCAAATAGAATAACGCTAAAGTACTGATAATCAGTAAAACTATCGTGATTATAATGAATAATGGTTCTTATAAGGATTACTTCCCTTAGCGACCAGGAACCGACAAAAACAGTTTGTCCTGATTTCTTATAGCGGATCTGTCTCTTAAAAAAATGTTGTACTTATCTGCCAAACGGCAGATAATTGGTTAACGAAAAGAAAAACGAAAGAAATACCGAAGAATTGAAATAAAGGTAAGAGAAAAAATAAATAAATAAAGATTTAATAGTCAAAAGCTGAAGTTATGCTTAGTTGAATCCACCATCTGTTGTCGTTTTCATTTGTTTCGGCGATGTTTTCTAATCTGCTACTTATTTTACATATTATTTCTTCATGGTGATTTGACGGGCGTGTAGGACAATTACACATAAATAATAAATTGTACTCGCGCAACTCAATCATCAACAAGCGATAATTCCAAGTTTTCGCAGTTTATCTCCCCCTTTTTTCCCAGGGGAGGGCTCAGCTGCTCGTCAACAAACGATTGTCTAAACATTTCATCTTTTCGTTTACTAACGGTGCGAGATTATTTAGTGGAAGCACTGGACGGAGAGCAATAAATTATAATTTGACAACAATTTAAATACCTGAGATAAATAAATGATATTTATTTTCGAAAATACGGATACAAATGTAATTACAATTATTAAAATGGAATAAAGCTTTTTTCAGATCTCGTTACTGCTTTGTAAATTCTTTCGATGAGCTTTTCACTGAGTCAATTCGACTGTTGTCGCTGTCATGTTTTGTGTTTAATAGCATTTGACGTTTCAAGAGCTGAAGGGCTGTTTTTGATAAATGAGGTTATTGTCAAGAAAATAAGTCACAGGGTGATACAGTGCGGTATTTCCCTGGTCCAATACCACCTGTCAGTCATGATTGCGCCTTGAAATGAAACAATACAACTCATCCAAATATCTAACATCTTTTGACATGCAAATTTGGGTTTTAATTGGCAGAATACCGGGCTGGAGACATTCAATACAGCATCTGATTGGTTTTGCACACCCAGGCCACTCAAGTAGACTAGAGAAAGCTTCAATTAACAGGCATCAGTGCTGAAATATAAGTGAAACTTAATGGGGATTTGGTCATACGGGCAATCTTTATGACGCCGTTGCAGGTAGACTCCATTATTCTGAATCCGAGTCCTTCCGGCTTGGTTCAAGGTCATTTGTTTAGCTTCAGTGTTCAGTTGCGAACTCAGGCTGTTTTGCTGTGAAAGCTGGTGAACATGTCTAACTTGTTTAACGAAAACTATGCTGCCACGGATGACACTGGCGATGTGAAAATTGTCATCAAAGGCAACGACTGTAACAAGAGCAGCAATGGTGCCAGCAGCATTTATGCTTTCTGCAACCATTGTAAGAAAGACATCTCCGTCGTGTATATCAAGTCGGATGCGAAGGGCAAGGAGCTTGAAGTAACGGAAACAACGATGAAGACCAATTGGCCTGCTGTGAACGACGGATCTTATCCCGAGAACGACTACGACAAATGCAAGAAAAACAATGATTATGAAAGCTGTAAAAAGATACTGGATGAAAAGAAGAAGTCGGGCAAGATACATGACTTGTGGGTGTCGTTTTTAGACTCTTGTACCCTTCATGGTTTTCATTTCTGTTTTGCAGGCAATCCTCCTGTTCGACGCGTGTTATGGACATTACTTTTGCTCGGAGCGTTCTCGCTCTTTGTTGAAAAATGTTTGACCAGCGTCTATAATTACTTTGATTACCCGTTTACTACTACCACTGTTATCGTTTATGAAAGCAGTATGGTGTTTCCCGCGATTTCCATTTGCAATTATAACGACGCTCGGTTATCTGTAATGAACGGAACTCTCGTGAATGAGCTGTATGTGAGAAAAAACATAGATGGACGAAACTCTAGTGATATTGAAGGTAACATTACAGGTAAAATTATGCAAGATACTTTGTCAAAGGCGGCCCATCGCCTTGACAGAATGCTTCTGGAATGTAATTACGGAAAGGACCACAAGTGCGATCATAACAACTTTACCGAGTTTAAAAACGCCTTTGGAGATGTCTGTTTTACATTTAATTCTGGTAAAAATGGTTCGAAAATTCTTAACACCACAAACACAGGACAGGACAGAGGACTTCGCTTACTTATTGACCTTCAACACTACGAGTATTATTATGCTGTAGAAAGTGCTGGGTTCAGAGTTATTCTGCACGATCAAGCTGAGACGCCGGTTAAAATGCAGGGATATGCCGTTGCACCGGGCTTTACGACCTACATGGAACTTCAGAAGAAACAAGTAGGTGTTTCAATTATATTTTGAGTACTTCTTAGTTTTTATTAACTTAAGTATACGTGTTAAATTAGGATGCAAAATTCTTATAATTTAATAAACACTTAATTGCAGTGTTTCTTTGATGTCTTATCGTCTTAATTTTTGCAACACTTACAATTGTTCGCCGTTATCGATTTTTTCATTCCATCAATCATCGTCAATCAAAATCAGAAAAAATTAATCACGAGAAGGGAAACGACTAAAAAAAGTGAAAAATAACCTCAACATCTTTAATCAAAATCAATATCAGTATATACAACTAAAAACAAAAGTGAAGTGAAAAGAAAAACTTTCCCTGCTAAAACATGTCAAAGAAACAAGAAACTTAATTTTTTCTCTGCCATACATCGCAGTAAACATGTATCAGTATTTGGCATGTCTTATTTATATTATTTCTTAATAGTTGAACATAACTTGCTGAATATATTCACCAGAATCCGTTGTATTTGCAGTGTCCTTTAGGCTCATTTCTCAGACTCCATTATGAGACATATAATCAATGTCGCTACATTTTTTTATATCGCTAAAATTTTTGAATCCGTGGAGAAAATCCTGAAGGGTGATCTTTCAATGCACCCTCATCGGTACAACTTTTGTACTGTGGATTTAATAACATTTGATGTCCTTCGATTATTTTACAAAATGGGATATGAGAGATTTTCAACGCTGATTTATCGCCAAGTCGTAAGGATGAAAGTCTGCTCTGTTTGTCAGTTAAGGGATATACCCCACCTTACGCCTTACTAAACAAAGTAAAACACAGCAAATTGTAGGGTGTTATGGCAATAATAAGACTGATCAATGTTGTTCTTTCAAACAACTATCAACAGAAAGACTACTTTGTGATACTATAGAACAAAATATAAACACTTTTAAAAAGAATTTTTGACCTCCTAAAGATCTCGATATTTGAATAAAAGACTAAAGCAGCATGACCACTCGCACACAACAAAGATTTTAAATAAGATTTTCAAAAGTTAGACGAGACTTTTATGTTCGTAATTGTCTCTTGGGAAGACCAATTTTTACATTTGTCTTACTCGATGATCTTATCAGAATAGGCGTTTGAACTGTTACATCAGGGTTCCGAAAAAGACTGCTGTTTGAATTTGACCTAGACAAAGATTTTGCAGCTGTATTTTGTTTTTCATTTCTTTGGTACTTTCCTGTTTTGATTCGATTTGTCTTGTTTTGGTTTTGGCGGAGCAGTGTAGACGTCATACAATACGATCAAAGCCATAAAAAAATACTTTGAAATTTAAGACTCAAGGTTTCCCGGCTGCATTTTCCGTTGGCAATAGCATTAACTAGGTCGCCATTAACAGATATTTGGAAAAATGACAACCACAGCTGTATTAGAAAAAGATGAAAATTGTTGAAGTGAGAGCCTGTCATTATTCCGAGAAGTCTTGGGTATTTACCTTTTACATGGAAAATGCGGAAATTTCTGTTGGAAAATTAAATGGCTCGCGTCGTTCTGTTTGAGAAGAAAATATGTGACGAAAATACTGAAAATATGGGATGTGATTTGAGGCGATCAATCTTTCAACTCTTTTGAGTCTTTTTGGCAGATTTGGTCATACTTTGTTGCAAGTCATTCTTTCACCATGTCAAATTTTATACTGAGTTTTATGTTTATGCTAGAGTTCCACCCAGGTGGTTTGTGCAAATTGTAAGCACCCATTGTCTCCAAGTTTCACATTTTCATGGACGACAATAGCTGACATCTCTGTAAATTCCAAATACATTGTTAGTTACTTCTGTTCACGTGAAACATTACCCCTGAATAATGAGAGGCTCTCACTTGTAAACACGAAATTTCAGACAAAAAAATAACGCATTGTAGCTACTATTTTATTGTCGCGCGTATAAAAGGACGATAATTCTTAAATCTATCGATTGGTTTCCATATTATTCGCCCATTTGTTAAAGTAGACCAAAATGTTAATCTTTCTTTCTATGAGCAAAAGCTATCCAAATGATCCTTTCAAACTCGTAAAGAATGAAACTACTATGAGGTGAAATTGCATTTCGATAACGCTCTGATAGATTTTCCTCGAACTTTACGAACATCGAGGCAGCTTTTGGAGGAATATGCTCCCGTGAACGATTTTAGAAAAAAAACCCAGTGCCAAGAAATACGGCTGCAAGTAATTGGGGCAATGACGTCATGAAGTTGTCATGCCAACTCCAACGTCAACGTAACACGGATCATAGTCATTGCTCATCTTTATCCACAACTGTGGTGGTCATTTTTCCAAAACTTTGTTAATGACGACGTAGGTAGTACTCAAACTTGGGAGGTATTTTCCCTGAAAAATCCATTCGAACCACCTTAAGGTGACTCGACTCAGTTTTTTTGGGGGGGTACCATCTTACTTTGAAGCCCTCTGGTATCCCCGCCTTTACTATTATCGTAAGTCTAACACATAGAATGGATAACATATCGATCAATCTACAATATAACATAAAATTTTTGGCGATCGGAGTAAATGTCACGTGGTTATAATGCCACGCCCCTTTGAGGTCTGAGTCGAAAATCTGCTTTTGCCGGCATTTTTTCGTGAAAATCTCTCGGCTACACATAGTGCACGTTAGTGCCTTGCGCTGAACACAGTTTCACCAAAATCGCAAAGACCCAATTCGAGAAATTCAGCGGTTTCCAAATTTAGGTCATAATTTATGCGAAAATGATAAGCAAACTTTACACGGATTATATCTAATAAACTATGAGATTTATCTCTTTATTTTGGGCATCGTTATAACAGATGGGTCCTTGCAAGTCAGCAAAACGCTTTAGGGCCTTGTAAATGCGCGCGATTTCGAGCAAGGCAAACATATAGAAATTATAGTTTTCGCTATTTGTTGACGTTTGTCAGCGTTTAAGAGTCCTTCTCACGAAAAAAGCATTTTCTTAAAAATTCGTAGTTTTTTTTCCTTCAAATTTTTTCAGGGCCACAATTGATTAACTAACTACCCGGACTCTGAATTTCATGGTCATTGAAAAACTGTGACATTATCTTCTATAAGCCCAAACTTGAGTAAACATTGAAGATTTTTAGCGTTTTGGCTGAGTTTGTGCTTTGGGAGTTGTCTATTGTTTCTAGTCTGTCATTATACAGCATTCTTGTTCAGCACGCGTGCAATGACCACGCTTGGCTGACTTCCGAATGCTCACCGAGATATTCCCGTCACGAGTTGGTTTAATTATTGGCTTGCATTAAACCTATGAAAAAATGATATTTTTTTAATAGTAAGTAGATTTAGTGTGTAGCACTTCTTGATTTTTTTGCAAAGGCACAAGAAGCACGAGAATTGATTAAAAATTGTGACTTAAACCTCTATGTATCACGCGATGGCCTGTCTCACTGTACCAAAATTATTATATCTCGGTGAGCATTCGGAAGTCAGCCAAGCGCGGTCATTGCACGCGTGCTGAACAAGAATGCTGTATAATGACAGACTAGAAACAATAGACAACTCCCAAAGCACAAACTCAGCCAAAACGCTAAAAATCTTCAATGTTTACTCAAGTTTGGGCTTATAGAAGATAATGTCACAGTTTTTCAATGACCATGAAATTCAGAGTCCGGGTAGTTAGTTAATCAATTGTGGCCCTGAAAAAATTTGAAGGAAAAAAAACTACGAATTTTTAAGAAAATGCTTTTTTCGTGAGAAGGACTCTTAAACGCTGACAAACGTCAACAAATAGCGAAAACTATAATTTCTATATGTTTGCTTTGCTCGAAATCGCGCGCATTTACAAGGCCCTAAAGCGTTTTGCTGACTTGCAAGGACCCATCTGTTATAACGATGCCCAAAATAAAGAGATGAATCTCATAGTTTATTAGATATAATCCGTGTAAAGTTTGCTTATCATTTTCGCATAAATTATGACCTAAATTTGGAAACCGCTGAATTTCTCGAATTGGGTCTTTGCGATTTTGGTGAAACTGTGTTCAGCGCAAGGCACTAATGCGCACTATGTGTAGCCGAGAGATTTTCACGAAAAAATGCTGGTAACAGCAGATTTTCGACTCAGACCTCAAAGGGGCGTGGCATTATAACCACGTGACATTTACTCCGATCGCCAAAAATTTTGTTATATTGTAGATTGATCGATATGTTATTCATTCTATGTGTTAGACTTACAATAAAAGTAAAGGTGGGGATGCCAGAGAGCTTGAAAGTAGGATGGTACCCCGCCAAGAAAACTGGGTCGAGTCACCTTAAATATACCAAATATACCTTTTCCTAATTCTGCTCCCGAGAGGACACAATGAAAACGAGATCGAGGCTTCAAGAGACCCTTTTTCGACTACATACATACATTTATTCCACTTCCCCACGGGGCTTTTGTTCACAGAAATGCAAGAACGGCCTTTCTCTGCTTTGATTTAAAGTCCTGACAATTTGTTATCTACCACAATTATGAACTGATACTTTCAAAATAAAACTAGAACTTCATCTTACCATTAATCCGGTTTTTAAAAGTTTTCTCCTTCTGGAGAATCTCCATGAGCCTTGAGGATGAAATATTTTTTAGAATCCTTACTTTAAATCTTGCGTTTTCAGGTGACCAATTTGCCGCATCCTTACCGTACAAACTGTGGGATGCCTCCACTAAGGTTCTTCAAATCATACAGCAAATCTAAATGTTTCTTGGACAAACTGGCTCGTTACGTTATCAAGCAATGCAACTGTCGGGATTGGTTCATGCCGGGTAAGTTGTTGTGCAATATAGCTCTATTGTTTGGTCTTTTAACTTAGTTGTCTAAGTGTTCAGGGCAGGAGTTCCAACACATGAACCATTTACATGTTAAGCTGACACCTGAGCCCGTGTACAACCTTTGACGTCAGCTTTGAAATGTTCGAAGATAACTTGGAATTCCAACCTATGCAGGAGGTAAAGCTCTTCCTTCCGAATCATGCTTGAGCGTGCGAAATTCGGTCAATAAGGACAGCGATACATGCAAATTAGTCTTGTAACTCTGACTGGAAATTTGATTTTGTTAAATCTTGTCTCAACCTGTACACCCTTTAAAAAAGTAGTTTCAAGATCCGTGGCTTTTTTGCCAAACCCGTCAAACAGCGTAAGAAGGCCTTAAAAGGAAACCGTGACACTCGGCGAACATGAGGATATGGGAAAGTAGGGAATTGTATTTTACTTCCCAAACTGCCTCACTAGCTTCAAAATAGTGCTTTTCTGACGAAATATCCAGGGGCAAATGAATGATTGTGATTGCATGTTATTCCCACTCTGTTGCTTTTCAAATTAAGACAGCCTTTCCTTACTGTCGCTTCTCATGGTTATGTTTTCCGACTTTCTAATACTATTTTAAGAACTGAAAATGTCATTCGACTGAACAAGAAATTATTTTACAAACTTTAGGTGCTGATGATGGAATTCCCGTTTGTGGTTATAAAGCAAGTGACAGCTGTATGTGGCCGGCGTGGGGTAAGGCTGGTAGTGTTGTTTTAAGTTAAAATCATAACGTTTCATGTATTTGTTCGCCAAATAAATAAATAAATAAATAAAGAAATAATCTATATACATTAACAATCTTTAATGGTCTTTGTTGGTTTGATAATCTTAAAAGCTGTCTGGCTGTGTCCCTCTGCCTCTCTTAGGCTCTGTGATTGTATACTTCATGGTCTTATGCGCTCTGTATCTGTACTATTCCTCCAACTTGAGCATGGAGTCTCTATGATGTTGAAATCTTCCACCTTCATGCTCGTTAATAAAAGGTTTTGTAGGTTTTTGGTTCACTTTCTCAATCGCTATCGTACAATCCCACATTATCTCCACATTCTAATTGCCATTGTAGCTGCGAGATTTCTTCTCAACACTAACGACTTTTCTATCATTTTACTGGCACTCGCCTCAGTCTCCGCTCCAATATTCGATAAGCTGCTTGATAATTTCGCTTATTTGTGATTTTAGAGCATTTTCAAGACAACAAGTTGGATAAGTGCCCTGTGGCATGTGAAAGCGTGGAATTTTCAGCTCAATTATCCTACGCTCGTTATCCAGCCAACACCTACGCAGATTACATACTTGCCAAGAAGAGAAATCTGAAGGGCACGGACGAGGAAAATAGGCGATACCTTAGGTAGATTACACACATTTTTGTTTTCAAACTAGAAAAAGTTTGAACCTAGGATTCATGTCATAAGTAGGTTGAGTATGATCGTACGGGTGAACGTAGTCCTGAGTAGGACTGTTGTTGACAGTGACTAACGTTTCGACACTCTGTGGGGTAGTCATCTTCAGAGTCAAAGTGAGTTGTATCACGTCATCAGTTGATGGTATTAAACTTGCTTATCAACCTGATTAGTCAATTGAGTCGCAATGTTACTGGTCGTCTGTCAGTTAAGCCGTGATGTTAGGCTATGAAGACTCGAAATTTCATTGGTTCAATTCGATCCCTCTATTGTCACAGTTAAACAGTCGTTTATTGTTAGTCAAATTGTCGGTCTTCCAGTAATTTTCTCATAGTTAGTTTTGCTTGAGCCCTTCAATAAGTCCTTTGTACGTCACTGTAACTATTGACTACGTTTCAGTGGCGTTTGATCTAAGTTAGTAAACCAGCATTCTTAAGTGAGTCGTTGATATAGCCTGTAGAATGCGTAATACATGTCACTCCGGGATTTCTTGATCTCGATCGAAGATACAAACATTTGAAATAAGGACAGATTACAAATGCTTCATATACCGTGAAAAATCATCATTATCACCATCACGGCTGGTTGGTTTTCACTTTGTTCAAGACCCTTGAAGTATTTAGATGGTAGATCTTTTACCAGAAGTGTACAAAAAAAAGGATTGGAACCTTATTAATGTTAGCGATATTGTATCCATTTCGTCTCAGGGACAACTTGCTTGAGCTCAAAATTTATTATGAGTCTTTGACATACTCCGATGTGAAGCAGGTACCCAGTTATGATCTGTACAGCTTGTTAGGTAAGTTTAAAGTTCTGTGATAATTCACTCATAATAGAATTTAACGCATGTAATTAATTAACATCGACGTAAAGCTGCCTCGAGAAAAGAGAAAAACTAGCGTTTTGTTTAGGTGTCAGTTAGTAGGAGTGGAAAAAAAAATAATGAAAAGCGCACTTTATGTAAGTGTCAATGTATTCAGTATGAAATAATAATTCGGGACACTATTTTTAGGACTGCTATTTTAAGTGTTCACCCGAGCTATGAGAAGGCCTAGCCGTTTACAGGGCTAAGGTAGTACTTTCCGGCATTTCTCAGTTATTTTAAGATCCTGAGTATTGGTCCAGCCCCGGGAATCAAACCCGCGACCTCCTGATCTACAGTAAAGCACTTCAGCGACTGAGCTAATCCTGCGGCAGTGGAATAGACTAGAGTAGGGTAGAGTGGTGGGCTGGTAGAGTGGTGGTATAGAATAGATAATTGTTTATTCTAATCGTTTGCACTATTGACTGAACTACCGGGTAGGTCAGCAAAAAGCAAATATAGTTACATAATACATTGATATGGCCCTCAGCAGTGTATTGGTGCTACCAGGTACGGAACGGGCCTCGGATTGCGGAGCCTAAGAGAGTTAAAACTCCTCTGGTACGTCGGGAGGAAATACCTTTCCTGAGGGGAGGATGCTGTCCGGCCTTTTTGAGGAACCTCTCGTCAGCAGCACCCTACCTGACTCTAACGTTGTACGGTTTATATAGAGAAAAGTTGTCCGGAAAAGAGGGTCACCCTCCCCTCCCAGCCCAGTCAACTTTAGCAAGCGTTTATATGGCGAAAAACTTGACCTCTTTGCTCGATCCAAGAGCTGACAACGGGGCTCCGCATGATCTTATTGTCTCACCTTGACCGAGTTTACCCGGCTGGGCGAGCCGAAGTCTTTATATGGAGAAAAGTTACCCAGGCTAGCAGAGTGACCTTACCAGTTTTCTAAATTAAAAATCGTTATTATTTTCGAAAAATACGACCAATTGACTTTTGTGTAGACCTTTTGTTAAGCGCATGCATCGTAGCTTTTGTACTGCAAGGATCAATTCGTTCATTACTTTAAGGGTTTCATAAATTAAGTATGATTTTACTCCTTATGTTCATTAATGTTTTTATTGTGTATATTAGGTGATGTGGGAGGTCAGATTGGTCTTTTCCTGGGCGCCAGTCTCCTGACGTTTGTTGAGTATTTGGATCTGTGCGCAATGGTGCTTTTTACAAAGTACAAGTATCACAATAAATAGTTGTCTGTCATATTTAGATATCTACTGCAGTATTCGAAGCTTTCGTAAGTCTAATCTTGGAAAGCTTTACTTGATAATGTATAAGTCTAGAAATTAACAGTAACCTTCTTTTTTTCGGAGCATTAAGTTATAGGAAAACGCTCAATTAGCTGTTACGATATTTCGGTCATGTAGCGTTTGAATGTTCCGTTTTTGAGGATACTTGAAAAGTAACATGGCAAATTCCAAATTTATTATAGATATTAAAGAAAATACGAATATCCTGTTGAAAAAAGAATTATCAAGTCCATCCTAATGGAGCAAAGAAAACTTCAGAAACCTCTATTTTCTATAACAGCCTTTGGAAACACTCCTGTTGTTGTTTTCTAATGCCAGGAATATTTTTTTCGGGTCATTCATCTATTGTTCGTACAAAAGTGCGTCATAAATGATTTAACTTTGAATAATATATTATTTTTTATATTTTCAATTATCAGTTGTCATTTTTGGTCGTGGAACTCGTACTCTTTTCTTAATATTTGCCTAGACTGTTCACAGTCCCTTATTTTTCCGTACGATCGTCGAGCGCTTTGCTGTACAGGCGGCCATCTTGGTTTCAAATGTTCCGAGTTTAGGCTGGGGATGAGTGTCAAATCTTCCTCGGGGGCAGGGGACGGTTTGGAAGGAGGTGCCTCTCTCCCCTACCGCTATAAACCCGAACTCCTCCCCCCCTCTCGGTACATATGAAACCAAGATAGCCGCCCGTGCTGTTAAGCGCTCGATCCTGACGATCTTACGAAAAAATATATAGCGGACTGTGAACAGTCTAATGTTTGCCAAAATGAAAAAAATTAACATAAATCTTGTGCTAAGTGTTTCAATTCAGTGTTTGCACCTCTGAAGTTTCAAAGAATAGCCTCTACACTTTAAAAATAACCTGCACACTATAGCAATTTAATTATCCCTTTTCTACGATTTGCACTGTGTAAATAACCATATAACGTCAGAAATATGGCTTCTGAGAAAAGGAAAAAAAATCACAGAACGATGAGTAGTTCACTAATCCTAATACTTGGTTCTGCCTGTGGTATTATTACTGACCACAGTAAGTACGGTTAAACAGCAACTCAAATAGCATTGAAAAAGAGCAACTGCTCCGCAAAACGCACATGTACAAATCAGCGAAGCTTTCTTTCTTCGAAGGATAATCAAGCGGCCTTTGTGTAAATAAATTCGGGATGGCTTGATGACTTGTGTCCTTGCAACAATTCTCAAGAAACACAATGAGGAAGAGTGAGAAACAAATGACGTTAAAATCTTATATCAGATAATATCATTTTGTCAATAACAAAAACACGTTATTATTGAAAATGGGTTCATTAAGACCTAGAATATCCTATAACCAGCAGCAATGTATCCGACACCGTTCGATTTTAGGGGATGAAAAGTCCTTCGAATTCTTAGTGTTGGGGATTTAAACTCTTGGCCTTAGGGGTGGACTGTATCTTCCTCTCTTGTTTTTGAAGTTAATGTGGCGCGAGTGATTGGAAAGTGTAACTCTAGTCAATGACTGCCCTAGAGTGATACTGGAAAATAGGCAATAAAAACTGAATTTACTCATTCAAACTGTAACGTTCGTTGTACATTCATGTAATAGTCAAAGTACTGTGAAAAACAAAAACTAGTTAACTAACGTAACATTAGAAACCTTTAGATTCGAGGACAAGAACGACTGCGAGTACGAGATTTAAGTTAAAGTTTTTTCGCGTATTTTCAAAAAATAGACACCCCGCAAAGGTTCATTATCCTTACCAGAAAAGTTAGCACTGTTTTCTTAGTCGGAGGAGGTTTTTAGGCTCTCTCCCGACCGCAAAATGATCAGATAAAACTTCTAACATTTGATAACTTTTTTCCGTCACTGCGACATTCTTGCTAAAACTAGATTGACGATGGCTATCACATTTTCCTGCCAAATGACTGGTTCGCGCGCGAGCACTACTTAGTATTGGGAATATCTCGTTCTTGTAGTCGTCCTCGTCTTAGAATCTAAGACATCTAAGCTCTCTATTACTGGCGAGCCTGAGAAACCCGACGACGACGGCAGCAAGAACCTAAAAAAACAAATATTGATTTTATCAGCAAAGCAACAGCCTTGCACATGTATCGCGCTCTTCGGTACAATTCTTTCACGTCTACTAAACGACCACGACGTGGAACTTCCTAATGCGACGTTTTATGGAGGACTTGAACGCGACGAATTTTCTTTTCTCTTTTTTAAGATAAATACCGCGATGAAGAATTCTGCGGAAAAGTTCGCAGACATTTGACAAAATGAGAGAGGCTAAATAAATGCAATAAAGTTTGAAAGAACGCAATTTTTTATTGACATTTCGCGGCCATCGTCTTTATGGTTGTCTCTCCACGTTCCTTCACTTAAAGAAGAGACTGTCTATTTACGAAACATTACATTGTAAAGTGTTAGTTGATGTGACTTTTGTTTTGAAATAAGCTTTTATGGAGCCTGATCCTAGGTATGGATGAGGTTACCTCGTCTAACTCATAATACTGGGTAATGAGTTGATAGTTCAAAAAAAGCTTAAACTTTGTGGTGAATTAAAACAATGGTTACGTTATCTGTGTATTGTACACTAAGTACGAGCCAAGAATTCTTGTCTACCATGCCAAAGTTTCAAACCGCGCTTTCGACTGTGCGCACTAAAACGTTCGAAAACGATACATTTGCACGTTTTGACTTTAGTTGAACTCTATGCGCATTCTACAAACACACGCGCCTGCGATATTTTCGGTCATCATTTTCATTTTGTTGCGTTTTCGACCGTCCAGACTAATACGATATGTATGCGTTTTCGTTTTGATTCACTTTCAAAAGCGATTTCAAATCGATGAAAGCGCTCAGCATATTAGTGTGGACGTAAGGCCCAAACGCATCGAAATGTATGCGATTTCAAACCGTCGAAAACGCGTTAGTATGCAACTGGGCCTAAATTCGCATAAATGGCTCTCTGTGGGGAGTATAGTCTTGTGTAATTTTGTATAAACATAAGGTGTCCAACCTGATTTTGGGATATTCCCGCCAACCTGGTCACAATCCGAGGGTGTCACATCTCGCTCACTTAGTGCGTCCCATCGTCCTTTGTGGCCATAGAAGGGACCTTAAGATCCGACGACGGCGACGGCGACGGCAACGGCAACGGGAACGCCATAAAAGCAATAGGTTTAATTTAATAGCAAAACAAAAATTTTGGCGCGTGCATCACGCTTTTTTATACATTTCTTTGCCGTCACTGCACGACTACGACGTCAAAATGCCTAATTCCACGATGTACACAGGAAGCACACAAGCGACGACGAAATTTCCTCCCTCTTCCTGAGCTTGGACATGGTTCTAAGGAATTCAACTTTAGGAGGGTTCGCCTACATTTCACAAAGTTAGTAACTTGGAGTAATCGCGATGAAGATTGAAAGAACACGAATTCATTTTTTCAGCGTCGTTTTCTCTGCCGTCGCCGTCGACGGATGTTTTCGCCTATAAATCTACCCTTGATGTAACATGTATGGTCTCTTCCTATGAGATGCGAAAGAACTTTCTCCAGCCGTTTTGCGATAAATTTTGTTGCAAGCTTGTAATCTGTGGGATCGCTACATGTTCCTGGGAAACTGCCCACCTACCCCTCCCCTAAGACAACATTAACATATCTCACTTACAGCAAAATGTTGGCTTAGGGGAGGGTTAGGTGGGCAGTTTCTTAACGGCTACCATACAGGCTTGGTCAAATCTTTGCCGTAACGTCTGTGTGCCACGAAATAGTACGTGACTACAAGGTCCCTCTCTTTAGGACACTACGTTACAGAGCTCTGACGGTCACACACTTTCACGAATCGTCTAGCAAAACTAGAGATAAATTAAATGAAATCTCTTCCCCGACTTTCATTAAGGCAGTTTTTTCGTGATTTTATCTATTTTACTCGGTCGAAGCTTACAGAACAATTAATTTTCTTTAATTACTCATTTCATTTGCTTCTTTGTAAATATATATATTTTTCGGAACCGTTTATTAGAGTTCATTTCCTTCACATTTAATCTGCTCAACATTGTTTTATTCACCTAATAATCTGTTCCAGAGATTTAGCAATATTGAAGGCGTTAATTGTCGGCGTAATCTATCGAAAACCGATGTTCAAACTTAATTTCCCTGGAGACGACTATAGAATATGAACAATTGCTTTCGATAGGTTTTTTCGAACAAACAAAAGCACTTTGCGTTTCTGGATCATTAGCTGCGAGGTCATCTGAAGATCTGAAGCTCGACTTCCTTCACGAATTCTTTTGTTTCTTTATTCAAAACAGTATTGTTTTAAACCTCAAAAGAATCCAAAGATTCGGCGACAAGTTTCGAAGATAAATATTTCTGGTCATGGCAAAGGCCACAAGTTAATATCGATCGGTATAAAAAGTTTCTTCCTTGACTTTTCACGTTGGAGAACTAAACACAGTGTAATGGCGGACGCGCTTCTAAGCTTGCCAGGCAGAACTAAAGTTCGAAAAACTAGTCTTCCGTTGGCATCAACTCGAAGTTTTTTAGTAAAGAAACCGCCGCAAGCACCACTTCAACAACAAGGACAAGAAGGCGTTAGATTAAAGAGTGGAAGCACGCTTCGCGAAGATGAATTCTTGGAAGAACTCGAGCAACAACGGGAAAGCCATACGGAAGGAATTGTGTTGGAAAACACTTATCGAGTTGCACCAGACCCACAGAAGAAATTCTCACCTGGTTTGTTTTTTTATTAACTTACCTATACTTCATCTTGTTTGTGAAATTGCATATAAACATCGGCTTTAATTATTTGCTTTTTGGGTTGATATTAGCTTGAGTAATGGTAATTAATAAGGAGTGTGAAGTGGATTATATTGGTTGACTTTTAATTCGCAAGACTTCCTTAAAACCTCGCTAAAATAGAAATCGAAAAGCCATTCAACTAAGATGAGTCAAATTCTTGCGGAAGAAAATTGGGGACAAAACCTGAAACAAAACATTAGAGACCAAAAAAAGCGATGATTTTTCAAACTTATATCTAATTAACCTCCTTTTCTTAAAAAAGATCTAGAAATGCCATTTGTTGGGATTTATTTGTAGCTAGTGCATTTATTTGTAGCTAGTACTTGATCAAAGACTTGTGCCACTAAGCCAAAAACTTGCGAACATAAAAGAACTAGAGTAATGTTTTCCCAATTCGAACCTCGCATCACTGAATTCAGTAAGTGATATGGTAACAGGTCGTTACGCTCGAACGTCAATTCGCCCGAAGTTGTTTCACTTTGACGTAAGCCTGATAAAAGTAATCTTAACTACAAACATCTCCGATAAGCTGTGTTGTAGAGTGTTCTTTGTTATCCGGCTGATCGACTTAGGTCCGGGCGAAACAACTTTGGGGCGAATCGACGTTCAGGCGAAACAACCACAATTAAGTGCTATATCTGACAAAATAGGCTGAAAAAGTAGCGTATAATTTGTTTGTCATCCTTTACAGCTGCGGTAAAAAGGATTGCAGAGGACGTGCTGATCAACCGACTCGCCAGTGTCAGTTACGATCCGAAGATTTGCCGAGATCTTACTCTACAAATTTCAGATGAAGTCAGGTCCCAGGTCAAGCTTCTTGGATTCGATCGATACAAGATCGTGTGTGTTACGCACATTGGTCCGAAAATGGGTCAGAGCATTAGGGTCGGAAGCATGTGCTGCTGGGATGATAAAAACGATAACTTCGCGGAGTGCAGCTTCATCAATAACTCACTATTCGCAGTGGCGTTAGTATTTGGAGTGTATCAAGAGTGATAACACTGATATAGATTAAAACGTTTACGTGAAACAGTCAATTTGTAGATCATTCTCTATGATTTGTATACTATAATAGAGTACAGTTAGAACTGTAATATAGTTAGCCAGCGAGCCGCGAGAGGACGCGCGACCTTCGCGTTTTTCTCTCGCTACATCATAGTATCCTCCTCATACAGTGAGATATACCCTCTTCCTCCTTCCCATGTAACCCTGCGCACCAATATGGAGAGGTGAGAAACGACTGGGAACGACTCAGGGCCTGATTTCTCCCCAGTAATCTCAGTCACCTCTACAATTGGCGCGCAGGGTTACATGGGAAGGATGGAGAGGGAGACGAATGGGGCGAGTCAGAGATATTGCTGCTGTGAATTCACCTTTCAATCTCTGTTTCGAGTGTGTTCTTAATCATTAACATAAATTACCTTAGCTACAAGAGGGCAAATAAAACGTCAGCTGTTATTACCGCCTGTGTTTTATTCTCAAGTGACACACAACCATTGGATAATTAATACAGTACACTACAAATATCAGTCCGGCACTGTTCAGTTGACAGGCACAGGCTAGGCACCAAGAAGTGTATCAGGGGTCTACATTTAAGACCTTTAGGGGTATAATAACGAAGTCGTCAGAACCTTCAAAATTGCTATTAGGTTGGACCTTTGAGTTCTCACGAGATATTATTTCCACATTTTTTGGTTTGACTGATGTGATAGTGATGTGAATGTACTTGAAAGTAACCGAGCTGACTGGCTGAAGAATTAATGGAAAATTCAAATAATGTACCGAACGCAGCAGAGGACAGAATAACCTGGTGTAGTATATTGTGAAAAACGGAATATGAAAATCTCGAAAAGAATACGTGCGGCAATTTTCATTCAAGAATGATGTCTCAGCATTTTTATTGCTAAACTAAACTAGGATAGTAATTGTTCAGAAGAATGCTTAAAACCGGGAAGGAACAATGTGCTACCAGGGACCGCGGAGCAAGGTGAAAAGTGGCAGGGCTGACAATTGAAAATAATTTTTTCATGTTGAAAATCGAAAAAAGGAATAAAATCATAGTATTTGATTTGTTTCTGTCCCGTGACTTCGCATACTTTATCCAGTGTATTTGTTGCTCTTTATAGGTCGACCAACATTCACGGTCAGTTCAGATTCAATGCAAGAAAAGACGCGATATACAATTTTAGTATAGAAAATACTACACTGAAGTGATCTGAAAAATTTCTAACTATGGCCGTTCACTGTTCAAGTAATGTAATTCTTCCTGCCATCGAATATTTCATTGATTCGAAAGGAGAAAGTGACAAAAGATAAAACTTTTATCAACTCAAAACAACTACTCACCTTCGTTTGGCTTGAAAAAGCTAGTAATTTTCTTCATTTCGTCTGACAAAACTGATAAAAAACTCTGCCGGAGCTGGAAGTATAAAACACGCCGCCGAAAGAAGCGAAGGCGTGGCCAAGGCATGGCGTTTGATCAAGGGGAAGTCGGCCCCAGAGCACAATTACCGCGAAAAGCACAGGAGCCCCACAAAATGCCTGGCGTTTGAAATTAAAGAAAATACAGAGAATATAGCGGAATATAGACGGAAAAAAAACTTGTTTCAAGTCTTTTTTTAAAATTATTTTTCTTTTTAGCGGAAAAAGTGGGGGCGGGGGCGCAAAAAAGTGGTGGGGCTGCGGCCCTACCAGCCCCTTCCCCCTCCGCGGTCCCTGGCTACTACTAGTCCCCTTAGGGCTACGCGTATGATTTAGCTTAGATCATAATTGTTTCTTATGTCTTTAATAAATAAAGTATCCTTTAAGTTTTCTTCAAAGACACAAACAACTAACTGAGTTCTTGAACAGTACTGAGGATAGCGTACTTTACAACAGTCAAATCTAACTATGATACACAGATCTTGGTTGCTCCTAGACTTGCTCTTGTTCACCATTTGAAACGATCCGGCATGTTATTCAGCCAATCTTCCTCTTCGGGCGTGTTCTCTCTGCCCAGAACTTTGTTTCTTTGGGGAAAACGTCCAAATTGGTCGACTACCTCCTGAAGAAGGTAAAAGACACCACCAGTGAAATGACTAAATTTCACGATGATTGAATATAATTTATCATGCACATTACTGTGGAAGAGACTTTGTTCAGTACAGGAAATAAACAAACCCAGCGACCCGCTTCCCACTTTTGCTCTGATTTCAGTTTCTATATAAAACTAATCTTTGTTTTCATTACTCCTGTAACACCCGTCAAAGACCGGGAGAGCGAATAACGGTAGTATAAAACTTAGCTATAATCGGTTATATCCTATGTTGAAAATAAAATAGACACTCTAATTAAATTTAGTCTGCTACACTCTTTTGATAAGAACATATTCGAATCGAGGTCGAAATTTGCGAACCTTAAAGAATATCTTAAAAATAAACCCCAGGCTGAGATTTTCACAGAAAATGATATAATTTTGTGACTTGAAAATCTATAAATACAATAAAATAATATATTTTTAACTTAATCCTTTCTCTAAACGGCAAAACTAGCCAACCAAAAACGAAGAAACCTGCGCTAACAATGGTTGATACCCCAATTATATTCTAAAACGGAATTGTCATATAAGCTATAATTTAAGAATAATACAAGAATATTCTCAGCATAAAATAGGCAGAAAAAGAAGAATGTTCAGCCAAGGCCGGAAGAAAAACATTTTTATATACATACAAAAGAGTGTACATAAATAGTATGCAGTCAGAACTGTCAATCTGAACCCCTCTTATCACTACTTTTCTTTCTAGTGTTGAGTTGAATTTTTAAATCGCCATTTACTTTCTCAGTGAAATTAAGAGACCTGGATCCAGTTGCTCAAAGGTTGGATGATGTTGTCCACTGGATGACGCAATTGACAGGCAGCGTGGCTGAGAGGTGCCGGCATCGAAGTCTCGCTCCGTTCTAGCTGGATTTCTTGCTCGCTTATTATCAGGATCAGCTTCGATCAGCTTAGTGCACTTAATCTATCAACATTGACTTTTCACCATAGTTGCCACGAACGCTTAGTATTCATTAGATAGCGAATTATCCTGTGGAGGCTAGAACCATTGCTATCCGGCTTTTGAACAACCGATCCCAGTATCATACACACCTTATGGAGACATGCAAACCTATACCACTGCTTTCCGTAAGTCTCGTGGTCTGTGCCTTTAGTGTCTTCTTCCAACTGTGCGTAAAGCTTAACGCTTAACTCCTACATAAAATATAACAATAAAGACAATAAGCGCTAAATGGAGTGAATTAAATTAACCCGTGAAACAGTATCTAAAAAATCACTGCCAGAAACCTAAAAAATATAAAAAAAGAAAACAGTGAAATTAGAGTGTAATATAGCGTAGTAGTGTACTATCTATTTCACGGGTTAAGTAAAATCACTCTATTAAGAAAACGAAATTGATAAAAATAAAAGAAAAGTAAAAAAAAAAACAACAGTTTTGAACATAAGAAACTGTAACCTGTTCCAAGTGATCAGATAGTGTGGACGGCGCAAAGAAAAGAGAGCAGGAAAAAACAGCGAGGGGTTGGGGAAGGGAAAGAAAAGACAAAATCACCGCAACAAACCAGTGAGGTCAGCCGGATCTTGAGTAGACCTGGAGGAGACTGAGAGAGGGAGAACGATTGATAGTGCTCTCCTTCCTACCTCTTCTGTTCTTCCGCTGTTTTGCCTGCAGTGTTCTCCATTTCGCGCCATTCTCCTCTATCTGAACGCCTGGAACAGGCTATAAGGACTGCAAACGAGGCGAGTGTACGAATACAAGACGTCATTCAGTCGCTCAAGTCAAAGTGGCTGCTAGACCGGATCATTTAACAATTATTCCTCGAGCCCGAATGGGCTATTTACTCAGAGGCCATGAGGGCTAGCAAAACGTGATTCAGTCGCCACTGTTTTGGTTTTCAAAGCCAGCGCTTTTCGCTACTAGTGGGCTATAACATATAGTCTAGTAGTAGCTCAACCAATCAGAACGCAGCATTGATAATAGACCACTAGTTGGAATTTACTTATAAACGATAGCGCCAGTTATCAACGCACAGGTACGACATATACCAGTGAATGGGTCGACTATTGTCATCTGCTGCTAGACAGTCACAAGGACTGCAAAAGTCTCGTTAGTCTCGTGCTTTGCAGAAAGTCACGACACTCGGGCGTATAGTTCGATAACAACGCCCGACGACAGGAAGGGCAAAATGTAACCGGCATCAAGTGAGCGCAACTTACTGAGAGCTAGGCACTCCACGTTTCAAATATATGAAATTCATGCACTGCTAACGTACTAAATTGGTACAAAAAGTCACTAGGTTATACCTGACATTCTCTATCCTCACTGTGTTCAAAAGGAAGGTACAGGAAAGCTCGTCCGGCCGCACTAANAACAGTTTTGAACATAAGAAACTGTAACCTGTTCCAAGTGATCAGATAGTGTGGACGGCGCAAAGAAAAGAGAGCAGGAAAAAACAGCGAGGGGTTGGGGAAGGGAAAGAAAAGACAAAATCACCGCAACAAACCAGTGAGGTCAGCCGGATCTTGAGTAGACCTGGAGGAGACTGAGAGAGGGAGAACGATTGATAGTGCTCTCCTTCCTACCTCTTCTGTTCTTCCGCTGTTTTGCCTGCAGTGTTCTCCATTTCGCGCCATTCTCCTCTATCTGAACGCCTGGAACAGGCTATAAGGACTGCAAACGAGGCGAGTGTACGAATACAAGACGTCATTCAGTCGCTCAAGTCAAAGTGGCTGCTAGACCGGATCATTTAACAATTATTCCTCGAGCCCGAATGGGCTATTTACTCAGAGGCCATGAGGGCTAGCAAAACGTGATTCAGTCGCCACTGTTTTGGTTTTCAAAGCCAGCGCTTTTCGCTACTAGTGGGCTATAACATATAGTCTAGTAGTAGCTCAACCAATAAGAACGCAGCATTGATAATAGACCACTAGTTGGAATTTACTTATAAACGATAGCGCCAGTTATCAACGCACAGGTACGACATATACCAGTGAATGGATCGACTATTGTCATCTGCTGCTAGACAGTCACAAGGACTGCAAAAGTCTCGTTAGTCTCGTGCTTTGCAGAAAGTCACGACACTCGGGCGTATAGTTCGATAACAACGCCCGACGACAGGAAGGGCAAAATGTAACCGGCATCAAGTGAGCGCAACTTACTGAGAGCTAGGCACTCCACGTTTCAAATATATGAAATTCATGCACTGCTAACGTACTAAATTGGTACAAAAAGTCACTAGGTTATACCTGACATTCTCTATCCTCACTGTGTTCAAAAGGAAGGTACAGGAAAGCTCGTCCGGCCGCACTAAACTTTAAGTGATCGTGACTCTCCCGTTGCATGAACTTAAAAAAGAAAAAAAACAGAGCGAAAACAGGTATGATTAGTTATGCTGGAGACCATTTCCAGTATAATAATAATAACAATTTAAAAATTTATAGCGCGCAAATATCTATATGAAGGAAATAGTAAATAATAAACAGTATCAACACAAAAATCAAAGTGATCACTCATTTTGACTAGCCAAGCCGTACAGGAAACTCAGAGGATCAAAAAAAAAAAAAAAAATTTAGAGCGAAGCATAATATGGCGGATTGCAGGCTAAGCACAAGAAAACGTCCCGTAAGATGATCTCTTCATTACTCAGAGCTTTAGTAAATGCAATGCCTCTAGACAACAAACCAATCGCGATTTGGCTTTCGAAAACAGATCTGAGATCAGAAAGTAATATCAATTCTTGCCTGACTCCAGCTAGACTTTCTTTCTTTCCTTTTTTCTTGTTGGTTGGGTCATTGCTCAGGAGGGGAAACTTCACGCTAACTCTAGTCGCGCTAGTCGAGACTCCAGGTAGAAGATGTCGTAGGCGGGTTCAAAGAATGGCAGAAGGTTGAACTGTGGAGGGAGAAGTACAGTTCTTTTTGCGCGTGAAACGCCGAGGGGAAGTTCATACTTCTTTAAAAATAAATCAGGACCCAGCTGAATATAATTTACCTTCCGTGCAAGCTTTACACAGTATGGATCTTTGCAGGTAAATTCAGGACGGCCCTACAATTAAGTTAGAACCAATAGCGGTTAACTTTAGGAAGAAAAAGAATGTTAGGGGTATTATCATCAAAAATTTAATGCCACTTGTACGAGGGCTTGCTCAAGTAGTTGACAAGTTGATTTTGCAAAGTTCGTCCCCTTGTACCTAGTATAAAAGACCACAGCCTGAAAAAGAATCGAAGCTGTACTTGTCCTCCAGTAATTTCCTATCGCAGCGCCCTATGTAAAGCAATCCAAGACAGTTTTGGATTCTGGACTGGATTTCAGATGCTGGATTCTGGATTCTTTATCAGTGGAACTTAACCGAATTCCAATCATTCGTGGGATTCTGGATTTCATGAGCTGTATTCCGGATTCTAAAGCCCACGGTCCAGTTGTTCAAAGGGTGGATAGCAATTGGATTTCATAATACTTATCCACTGGATAGCAATTTATCCGGTGGATGGCGCTATCCAACTTTTGAACAACCGGGGCAAGGATTCCGGATTCCACATGCAAAGCTTTTCAAGATTCTCAATTCCACAAGCAAAAATCTGCCGGATTTCGGAATGCGGATTCTCTTACAAGGGGCAACACGCACCCGTTCTTTGTTTCGAAAGGATGATTTGGGGAGAAGCGTTGTGTGACGTAGGAGACCAGCTCTGCGGAAGCTTTCAAAAGCATCTCTAGTAGGTGACACGCATTTTGGAATTATAAAAAAAATTATTTATTATCTTCACCTTAGCTTGTTCTAACCTTGTAAAGGCTGCGCATGAATTGATCTTGCAAGAGGATTAACGCCAGTGTAGCCTTAGGATCATTCTCCCAGTGCGTCAGTTCATCGTTTCTCGCTTTCTCTACCTACAAAACGTATAAAAATGCCATTAGTTTTTAATGATATCAAAAGCTGAAGATTATGGATTGAGGCTGAGTGTGATATGAAGAATTACGCAGATCAAAACAGGAGTGGATAATACCCCTCCGCTGTCTTTCATGACGTCAAAAATTGTATATTTCAATATACAATCACTGACGACAGTGACTGAAGTCAGTGATGGTCTAACCTACTCATCTTCTTAAAATTAAAAGTGCAAATATTAAACAGATGGCCATGGCGATCTGTCTAGCTATATTATAGTTACAGGCGTTGGTGTTCGCGTGGGTTTCATGAGTAGGGCCACGACAAAATAAAAACTACTACTTTCTCTTCTGAAACTGCACATCACTAAAGACCTTTTGGGAAATTTGCGTTTGGAACAAAGCTAATCCGCCGCCAGAACCGTACACTGAAGCGTTGTTAAATCTGCATTGAGTTCGTAGTCTCCATCGTCAAGGGAAAGCAAGGCATTCAATCGCCATTATCTCATTCTCAATCCGGAACTATGTATTTTCTGAGAAAACAGCCGACATTTGGCGACACTACCACTGGTTTGCCAGCGAAATGACATCTGAGAAACGAGCGCAGAAATTCCATATTGAACACGTGTCATTACCCACACCTAGGTAGTGTTTCAGATTGGATATACCGCGAAGGGAATTTCTTTCAACCAGTCAGACTTGGGTAGTGACACGTCATCAGTATGTAATCTCTGCAGTTCTTCCTCAGACGTCATTTCGCAGGGAAGGCAGTGGAGGCGTTCGCGAAACAGTCGATTAAGTTCGAGATTAAGTGTCTAATTGAGTTGTTCCCGAGCCACTTTTGTCTATATAGAGAACCACCGATCGAGGGGCGATCCGCAGAAATACAAACCTCAGCCCTGTCCAAGCATGCAAAAGTTTCATAGTAAGCTCAAAGCTTTGGGTAGCACCTTACGGACTAGCTACTTTTAATGACGTACTAGTGCTCCAAATTTGTTTCTGATTTCCTCAGTCGTCTCTTCTCCACCTCCGAACCATTTGGGCCTCTTGGAAGGGTCTCCTGCTCCGAACCAGTAGTTCAACACATCATTTGCTTCCTTGTACGACATTGTGCTGTTTTTCTGAAAAAGGCAAACTGGACAATCAAATATGTGACATTTTTTAACATTGGGAGTCCATTGGGAGAAGTGGCTATTCTTCTCGTGACATTTAGGCCCAGTTCAAACGTCGAACTTAATTAGTCGGACTCAATTCATTTTCACAATGTTCAATGCTCCACAGTCGAAATTCCCATGTGGGCCACTCGATCTTAATAAATTCATAGGTCGACCAAAATTCGACACGTAGGACTTAATTCATCCAAACGTCTGGCCTTCATGCACTTAATTAAAAAGGATTAGGTTTGGTACATGAACAGATCGACGTTTGAACTGGGCCTTACTTACAGTCAGTGAAAGTATCTCAGGTCTGCCATATCGCTCATTGTTATTCTAAGATGCTTAACAGGAGTTTTTTACATTGGTTACCATTGATCAAACGGAAGGTCAGGCGTAAATTTGTAGGGAGTAATTACAATAATTTAAGACGGCTCGCGAATAAACCACCTGGAAACATTAAACAGCGCCCTTTCAAAGATTCTAGCATGCTAAAATAAACAACTTTTTGACTAACAAAAAACCAAACAAATAACAACAACAAAAAGAAGTTTGCATCAAGAGAGAATAAGCTCATTCTCTCTCGTGCTCTTTCTCTTGCTTGCACTTAATAAAAAGAACGATGATGAAGGACATTTATGCATACCACTTATACTGAAAATAAAGAATATATAAATAAAGGATACGTTTGTAAATTTCTAATAATGACACCAGCACAGTGCCAAAATTTGCCAAAATCAAAGATGATTCTACAGATTAAAACTCTCCTAAGTTTCAAGCAAACAGATAAAAGACCCAGACGAAAAATACGGGCTGTTGATAGTTGTAGTTTCCTGAGAGACTAAAGTTGCAAAGCCGTATAAGCTTATTCTATGTTTGGTCATTTTCTCTTTAACGCTTTTTTCGCATCGAAAAGAGATTAATAAAAATTAAAAAGAGAAGAAGAAAAAAAGTAGTATAAGTTAAACTTAAGAATTATAGATACAGTAATTACAAAACTTTGAATAACTTACCTTCTTAATAGTAGTGGGGATTAGGTACCAATCATTTATAGTTTTCGAAAAGAAGCTAAAAATGTAATAGTCATTGCGAGCGCCGGCAGTATGGAACAAAATACAAAAACTCCAAAAACTGAAAAGCACACTCTGCTGTTTTTTGAAATGTTGAAAGTTTTGAGTTAAAAATTAACTGTTAGCCTGACTATTTGAACCTGCTGGCATACAAATGTCTCGCTGTCATGGCTCGACGTGAAGCCATGAATATATTATCATACGTATCTCCCACGCCGAAAATTTATTAAATCTATTATTGCCTTCCTTCGATTCGTAAAATCGACGAAAAGCGTCATGAAAAATTGTACTTAAATAAAAAAACAAATATTCAATGAAGGCTTCTACAGAACAGTCTTTTTTTCAGGCAGAAGCGGTTTGTTGTTCGACCTTGCATTTGAAGTCGGAGGAGATATAAAAGCAAACAATACGCCCCACAATTTGAGATAAAAACCTTCGATGACAATATTTATAGTTCAGGTTTTATATGCTTGTACGATGGTCCGATTTTCGTATGAAAGAAGAAAAATAACGACTCTAATACATCACTGTTTGCTCCAGTTTCTTATACAAACCCTTTTGAAGGCGGGTCATTCGTCTACTTTGGCGGGCAGTCAGAAGATGAAGTTCTAATATAGGTTCTCACCTTAAATACGGAAATTTCATCAACACCTCGGGCTTGAAGGTCTCTGTAGGTATTTCCTTTCTGGGTAAAACTTCCTTTAAGATTGCTGCGATCATCGGCGAGTACGGTTTACCAGTCGAGTATTGCGTGAGTAGTGGGGCGCGATAGGATCACTGGGTGTCCACAGGCAGCCCAAGCTCACGTCACGTGAAAGGATTAGATTAATTATTAGCGGTGTGCGAGCCGGGACGTGACTGTTCAACGAAAGCGGTATTGGGTTACATGGCGGCCGTGAATTTATAAAGGATTTGTATGGGAATCCACGTTATAGATTTAGGAAGATAAATACTCGTAGAAATTCTCAATAAAAAACGTCTTACCTTATTTACATGGTGTGTTCTTGCTTGCTGTGTGGTTATTTTCCCGATCCGGTGCGATTTTAGCGATTTTTTTCATTTCTG